AAAACCTCACGCCCAGCCCCTCCCACGCCCACTCCCTTGTCACCTGCTCTGTGTCTTCTGCCTAGCGCTGGTCATCATGTGCCGTGCGCTCTAGTTCCGCGTTGCTTGTCTGCTTTCCCCTAGAGTCCAGCTCCCCGGGGGCCAGGAAGGTGGCTGTTCCCTAGCCCGCCCTCACGCGGGCCCTCAGAGCTGCGCGCAGCAGGAGCAGGCTGACCGGCAGGAAACTGCTGGCGCGAGGCAAGCCCTGTGTAAGCGCCACTTGTCCTTTTTATCATTGCTGTTGATCGTTCTGCGACTTGCTCATCCCCAACAGTCTGAGCGTCTCCCCCGTCAGCCAGCCTGCTCGCCCTCCGTTTAGCGGGCGCCTGGTATTCCACGGCGCAGGTGTCCCAGGCTTTGTGCCTTTGACAGTGTGTGCCGGGCCCTCCCCAGCAGCGGGCACTTCGAGGCCCTGCCCTCGTGGAGCTTACGTTCCGAAGAGGGCACACGGTAAACCGCCCAACACGTGGGTGCGAGGGAGCGGGGCAGGCAGTGGGCTGCTTGGGCATCTGCACGAGAGCGCTGTGGGCTCCGGGAGCAGCAAGTGCAAAGTCCCTGAGGTCAGAGCACGGGGCTGGGGCCAAGGGGTGGGCAGGGCACAGGAGGTAGCAGGGGCTGGACCTTGCAGAGCCCGCAGGCCCTGGAGTCAGAGCAAGGGTCCGAGCACCGGCGGCGTGAGCTGACCTTCCTTCCACCAGGGTCACTCTCGCCACCATGCTGACCTTGCGGGCCTGGTGCAGGCAGGAGCTGGGCCTGGTGGGCCTGGCCAGGGTGCCCCGGGTAGGGTGCAGTTAGCCTCCTGCCGGTGGTGCTTTCCAGGCTTTTCTTACTCTGCACGCTCTGCTCACACATCTCTGTGCACACCCACGAGCATGTCCATGCGGTGGATTCCTAAAAGTGGGGTGAGCATGAGCGTGCAGATCGGAGATGTTGCTGGGCACCCAGATTTCCCTCCAGAAAGACTTAATGTTATGGCGCCGTGCACAGGAGCCCGCCCCGCCTGCCTCTGCGGCACTGGGTGCAATCAGCCTGGTGATCTTTGGTAACCCGACGGGCAAAGTTGCCCTGCCCTTTGCATTTTCCCTGTGCTGATAAGGCCGAGAGTCTTTCCACAAGTTCAGAGAACTTTGGTATTTCTCTTCATCACAGTCTTTGTGTTTGGTCTCTCTCTTCCCAAAGTTACCTTTCGTCTTTCATCGAATTAGCTAGAACTTCCATAAAATGTTTAAAAAGACTGGAAGAGCAGCCTTGCTGATTTTGTTCCTGACTTTAATTGGAGTAACAGTGGCATTTTAGGGTTTGTAACTCAGGGTATTGATCCATCCAGCCATCTAACCCATAGTAAGCAAGTATCCTCTAGTCGATATTTCTTCCCTTTGACCGTAACTGTTTCCTCTCAAAGCTATGGGTAGACACCATCTTCTAGAAATTTAGTACTGTACAGGAGATGCCCAAGACCAGTATGATTTTCCATACTTTCTAGGCAGCCTGTTTGTCTTTCCTCTTTGGATGTCGCTAGGATTTTCTTCATCCTTGAGAATGCAGCTCTTCACCAGCGTGTCCTGAGACACTGGACTCTTGTCCTCTGGCACATTCACACCTGCCTTCAGCTCAGGATGGTTTTCTTCACATGTATCTCTCATTATGGTCTGTTTCATTGCTCTGGTGTCTTTTTTCAGAAAGAGCGGTTATCTGCAGGTAAAAACTCAGCTTTGGGCCAGGCGCGGCGGCTCACGCCTGTAATCCCAGCACTCTGGGAGGCCGAGGCGGGCGGATTGTTTGAGCTCATGAGTTCGAGACCAGCCTGAGCAAGAGTGAGACCCCATCTCTACTAAAAGAAAAGAAAGAAATTAGCTGGTCAACTAAAAATATATAGAAAAATTTATTTTTTTTATTTTTTTTTTTTTTACCACAGTGAGTTTTCAGGGATATAGAAAAATTTAGCCAGGCGTGGTGGCGCATGCCTGTAGTCCCAGCTACTCGGGAGGTCAAGGCAGGAGGTCCCCTTAAGCCCAGGAGTTTGAGGTTGCTGTGAGCTCTGATCACACCACTGCACCCTAGCCTGGGCAACATAGTGAGACTCTGTCTCAAAAAAAAAATTTTTTTTTTAAACTCAGCTTTTTACATCTCTCTCCTCTTCCTGCATGTAATATTGGTTCTTTCCCTTCTCATTCTACAAGTTTCTCATGTGTCTCGCATTCACTGATCCCATTTTCTTCCTTATTCACTCTGAACGTTGTCCTTTCTAATTTTCTGTCCTAATGTGGCATTTCCATCTCAGTCCGTGGCTTTATCTCATTCTTCATTACTTGATTCATTGAATCCACCTTCCCTTGAATTTTCACTCCCAAAGAAAAGCAGGTGCTGCCCTACATCTGCTTGTTCCCTCCATGCGGGGAGGGCTGTGTTTGTAAAGTTTTCCGGTGGCGAAAGAAACAAGACAGAGAGAGAAAAGGAGTGGGGCCAAACAACATGGCTTTATTATGCGCTCCCGGACGAGGTTCTTGGGTCCCGGGGTGGGGGGGGGGGCGAGAAGTTGCATGTTTGAAGGGGGTGAGGTCTTTTAAACCATTGGGGCCCGGCTAGGGACTTTTGGAGGGAGGAGATGGGGATTTTCCACTGTGGTCTTTGTCCATTCTTGAGAAACGGGAGGGGCTGGTGGTAGCTGCAGATTCCAGGAGGAGGGGCTGGTGGTGCCTGGCAGTTGTTTTTGGTGGGTCTGGTCAGCGAGCCTGTTCTCTTGTTTTCTCTAAGGAGGGCAGGGGGCCCGCCACCAGCCTTACAGCGTTCACTTGTCTTTGCCATGTGTCTTTTCTAAAGCCCCGCGTTGGCTTTTCCGAGTGTTAATCTGTGAGCATGACAAGGCCTTACCGGCCCTACTGTTTTTCAGATGGGAATGTGGCCAGACTCTGCCTGGGTCCGTCTCTCACCTGGACGCCCTGGGGTGGCGCCCTCAGCACGGGCTAGACCTGGGGACGGGGGTGAAGGGTCACATTGGAGCTCAGTGATCCAGGAGTCAGCAGCTGGTTCCTTGCTTGTATGGCCGCATGGCGTTTCCTGCGTGGCCTTGGCCCCTTTCCCAGAGCCACCTTGTTGGAGACGGGGCCTCGGGGTGTTCGGTGGGAACAAGTGTCCAGGAGAGCCTCGGCGTCCATCCCACGGGACGCCGTCTCCTTGCGTGGCCAGGGTGGCAGGGGTCTGCGGCGAGGGGCCACTTCTTAGGAGAGCCGGACTCCAGGGTGGCTGACGGCGATGCCCCTCCCCCACCAGTCTTGTGGTGCTGGGTCATTTCACCTGCGTTCCAGCGAGAAGGAGGTGCCCGGAGGGGGTGCTTTCCCAGAGTGCGGTGGGAACTTGAGGGCAAGCGTTTTCGCAGAGACTTGGGGGGCAGAATCCAGAAGCCCTTCCCTGCCCCCGTTCTGCCCTGGGAGGGGCTGAGCAGATGCAGTGCAGCAGCGGCATCGCCACGCTGGGCCAGAGTCAGCGCCCGGAGAGTGCGGGGCAGGTGGCCGGAGACCCTGCCTGCGCTGTCCTGGGGTGGGGTGGGGCCCTTCAGAGGCAGGTAGCCTGGAATCCAGCCCCGTCACCAGCCGCTGAGTGGCCTGGAGTGAGTCACCTGCCCGTGCCGGCTCATCCGCAGACCCGCGTCCTGCACACCACGTGGACAGTGGGCGTGGGAGTCACAGAGGCTGTGTGTCTGTCCCCGGTCGTCAGCGTCAGCCAGAGCCCTCGCTCAGCACCTCCCGGCCCACCCTGCAGGCGTCTGTCTGCTTCCCTGAGCACATGGAGGCTGTGAGGGACATTCTGCCTTCTGGGAACAACCCCTTGGAGAAGGGACCGCTGCCACCCAGCCACCAAGCCCAAGTCAGCAGGTCCCTTCGCCCTCTGGCTTCCCGTTGAGTTTGGCAGGTTGGAGGCCAGACGGGGTCGGGAGGAGCGAGGCCGCGGGTCATCAGGGTTGGGTCCCCCAGCTCCGTGCTCCTGCCTCTCCAGGCCGGGGCGAGCAGCCTCCCCCAGCCCCAGTGCACCCCGGCTTTGCTGGGTTAAGCGTGACCATGCCCTGCCATGCAGTGCAGCCGCCACACACTTCCTGCCCGGCCCCACTAGAAACCCATCCTGGGTCCTCCTTTCTTCTGATGACATTGAACTGTCCCCATACTTGGGCTGGTGCCCAACCCCACTAGTCAGTCAGACCCCCTCCGTATTCACAGTCGTCGCTGACCCCCCTGTTTGTCTTCTGGGATTACTGTGGCCACCTGAGGCTGGTCTGTCTCTACTTCCAGTCCCTTTCCACCCCCCTCTGCAGCCCCAAAGGTGAAGTTTCTGTCTGGCGCCAAAGTGGGGGCCTGTCCCCATGCAAACTGAGCTCCAGGGGCTGGTGCTCAGGGTGCTTCAGGGGCTCCTGGCCATTCCCACCCCCACCCGCACACACCTGCAGTGTCTGGGACCCTGAGCTGCCGGGGTGGGGTGCCTGCACCTGCTGAGCCTGCTCTGTCCTCTGCACTCACAAGCCTCATCGCCCCCGAAGTCGCCCACCGTCCTCGGCTTCTCCTGTAACTGGTACCGAGCTGTGATGGCCAAGATTTCTGACGCCCACCGCTCCCATGTCACCTGGGACACGTGCAAAATGCAGGCTGCGGGCCCTGCCAGCCTCTCAGTGGGACTGTGTTTCCCCAGAGCTCCCGCGTGCCGGGGTCCTCGTCGGCGCTTCTGTCCCCCTGCTGACGAGGCCCTCGCCCCTCAGCCGCCTAATTCAACTGTCTTCCTCATTGGCGACAGGTGGGGGCTCAGTAAATAAGACCACAAGGGACATGGCGAAGTGATAGGCGTGTGATTGATCCCGACGACTGCGGTTCGTCTAGCAAAACGTGTAGAAAGGTTCAAGCAGCTGCTCCGTTCCATGGCTCCGCGACCACCTGTGTGCTCTTTTTAATGCTTCACAATATTGCTCTGGTTGGCAGGTTGCACCCAGAGCCCGACATGAACGGGTACGCGGAGTTCCCCTCCAGACCCTCAGACCCCACCAGGGGGCCCCCAGAGCCCCAGCCCGGCCGGGCCCCGCTCCAGGACGACGTGGACATGAGCAGCGGCTCCAGCGGAAACGAGACCAGCGAGAACTGCTCCACGGGGCGGGACTCCCGGGGCAGCGACTGTGGCGACAGCGGCAAGGAGCAGGGCATGCTGGTGGAGCCGCCGGCCGCCCACCAGAGGTGGGTGCCCGCCCGGCCGGGCTGAAGCTGCACAGGCGCTTGGTTCCTCAGTGCATCTCGCTTCCCTTGTGATTCGATTGCTTTCGCAATCTTTATTTTATTTTATTTTATTTTATTTTATTTTATTTATTTATTTTTTTGAGACAGAGTCTCACTCTTTGCCCGGGCTAGAGTGCCGTGGCGTCAGCCTAGCTCACAGCAACCTCAAACTCCTGAGCTCAAGGGATCCTCCTGCCTCAGCCTCCCGGGTGGCTGGGACTACAGGCACGTGCCACCATGCCCGGCTAATTTTTTCTATATGTTTTTAGTCATCCAGCTCGTTTCTTTCTAGAAACAAGAGATAGGGTCTCGCTCTTGCTCAAGCTGGTCTCAAACTCCTGACCTTGAGCGATCCTCCTTCCTCGGCCTCCCAGAGTGCTAGGATTACAGGCGTGAGCCACCGCACCTGGCTGCTTTCGCATTCTTTAAATTGGGATCACCAGATTGTTCAAAATTTTTGAAAATCTTATTAACGCAGGATAACTAAAATTTAGGTAGGGTGGTTTATAGAAAATGAACGTGCTCCTTTTGTCTTGTGTTTCCATCTCCCAATACTTAGTTTTTCTGTTGTCTGAAGGTTTTATGTTCCATTTTTATCTTACCCTTGTATTTTTTTTTAAATTATCTTGCTGTGGTGTTACCGAGCCTGTTATCACTGGTGGGGTTGGGGGAGGAAGTGGATGGGGCATACAGGTGCCTAAATTTTGCTTTTATTCCTTGTTCTTGCAGTCCAGATGCCTTCAGCCTGATGATGGCCAAGTCTGAACACAACCCGTCCACAAGTGGCTGCAGGTAAGGCCAGTGAGTCCTTTAGTGTCATCAGAGACCTTTTACTGGAGGTTAGTTCCTTGGGAGTAATGTGACTTCTTTTATTTTTATTTTTTTATTTTTCCGAGACAGAGTCTCACTCTGTTGCTCAGGCTAGAGTGAGTGCCGTGGCATCAGCCTAGCTCACAGCAACCTCAAACTCCTGGGCTCAAGTGATCCTCCTGCCTCAGCCTCCCGAGTAGCTGGGACTACAGGCATGCACCACCATGCCTGGCTAATTTGTCTATATATATTTTTAGTTGTCCACATATTTTTTCTATTTTTCGTAGAGACAGGGTCTCACTCTTGCTCAGGCTGGTCTCAAACTCCTGACCTTGAGTGATCCTCCTGCCTCGGCCTCCCAGAGTGCTAGGATGACAGGCGTGAGCCACCACGCCTGGCCGTGACTTTGTTTCAGCCTGCATGGCCCTGTCGCTGTGACCTGGCTGCACCCCGGCCTCTCAGACTCTGACATGTCCCCGCGGCTGTCCAGAGCCCCCAGTGTTGCGCCAGAGCCGGGGACGCTCCTCCCAGCCCTACTCTATGCAAACCTCGCCTGAGTCTCGGGCATGTTCATCTGGCATATTCCTCACCCTTTTGGGGGTATTTGTAACAAGTTTATCCTCATGTCCACATTTTCCTGTCACCTCCGGAGCAAAGTCCAGCTCCTCGTCTCGAGCCCGTGCGCGCTTTGCCATCACCGCAGACACCAGATCCCCGTCCTTCCTCCCGAGCCCTTTGCTCCGAGGGCCCATGTCCCCCGGCCAGTGCCCTGCTGTCCTGCCTGCCTGCCGTCCCTGTGTCCTTGCACGTGAGGACCCTTCTCAGAAGCCCCCATTCCTCTCCGCTGTGCTCGCGGTTCGCATTTATGTCCCCGGAAGTCACTTGCTGTCGTCTGTAGTCCCCTCACCCAGGCCTGTTCTGCCCGGGACAGGGGACAGGGAAGGAAGGCGCAACCCAGGGGCACGGTCTGCTCCGCCAGGCCACGGGCCCACCAGCGGCTCCCCCTCGGGGGAGAAGAGCCCGGGTGGAGGGACTTCTCCTGCGTTCGCTGGGGCTAGAGCCGTGATGCTTAACGGGGGACAGCTTGTGTCCTGGTGGGGGCATGTGGCGATGTCTGCAGACTCTCCTGCTCGCCACACGGGTGACGGTGCCGCTTACCTGCGGTGGCGGGCCTGGTTCGCGGCCAGACGCTCCGCAGAGCCCCGCAGGGAGCCACCCAGACCAAGGCGTCCGGTGAGCCCCCAGGCGGAGAAAACGGGACGCTAACATGTCATCGGTTCTTCCTTGAATCCGCAGCAGCGACCAGCCTGCCAAAGCAGACGCGCACAGGGAGCTGATACAGACGCTGAAGGAGCTGAAGGGCCACCTCCCCGCGGACAAGAGGGCCCCGGGGAAGGCCAGCACGCTGGCCACCCTGAAGTACGCCCTCAGCAGCGTGAAGCAAGTGAGAGGTGCGTCTGCCCCGCACGTCGCTCCAAAGCGGCAGAGATTAGTGCTAGGGTTTCTTTGCGCCCTTCCTTTTGCTCTTGCTTTGCTGCGACAGTGGGTCTGGCTGTCATCCGTGGCGTATGCATCATGCTCTGTACACCTGTGTCTTGCTTTTGCCCCACAATCCTGTCTTTCTCTCCTCAATAAACCTTGTTTTCATTGCTTGCTTTCAAAAAAAAAAAAAAAAAAAGCAAGAAATTAGTTTCAAATGGCCCCAAACTACAGCTTGGATTGTGTTGACTTCCTAAAACTCATTCCTGAAATAGCAGAAGGAAATGATAAGAATCTGATGCAGCTGCCATTGATTGGGAACCTCAGCACTTTGGAAGTGTTCTATTTAAAGGAAAAATAAACTTTTTGTGCTCAGGGCCGGGTCAGGTCATGATCAGGGGAGTCCAACATCATCGGGGCTCTGGCAGGAGCGCTGGCGTTTGGGACGGTGACCCCGAGTCCAGGGAGGTTACCACGCACTGCCCATAGCCTGTGGCAGCGGCCTGGTGCCGTGAGCAGCGCAGTTTGGAATTAAAGCAAAACATCCCTCAGCATTTAGCTGAGGACTTGTCCTGCCTCTAAAATGTAATGTGAAGAGATACACGAGGGAAGGCCTTGTCAGATCTTATCCTTAAAGGATCGTTACTTTAGAACTTCTCGGTTCAAGACCTCGGGAAGTTCATCTCTTGTTTATCTAGAAATGCGTGAGTTTCTGTCCTGGTGGTCATTTCAGCCAGGAAAGAAGGAGACAAGTAGAACGCCACCTTCCACCGCACACGGGCAGTGATGGGGCCTCCAAATTTTACTAATAGATCCTGCTTCCATCTGTGTGTATATGTGGATTTTATCGTTAGATGGCAGAATATGAAAGAACTTATAGAACTGGTCGGTCAGCCACGCATGAGACTGAGGCTTTTACGTGAGAAGACACGTGCCGAGCTCTTCGAAGATGCAGTGCAGAGATCTATGAACAAACACTGCACGTTCCAGAAATACTAAGGCTCACAAGCCCAGGTGCTTTACTGCTCAGTAAACTGCCAAGCCCCTTCAGCATCTCGCAGGAGAATTTCGTCCTCCTCCAGCGGCTGCTGGCCTGGCTCTCCCACCCGGAGGTGCCCTGTCTCCTGGGCTCAGGGAGTTGCAGGCGCCTCTGTCTCCAGGAAAGGCAGGACGCGCTTCTGCGGAACCGGCCGGCTCCGTCTCGTGGGCCCACAGCCCGGTTTCCCACAGCCCGTCCCTAGAGTTGAGGGCGAGACCCCTGCGCCGGGGTTCTCTAGGACGGGTAAGCTATAGAGGTTGCTCACAGAGGTCCGAGAAGCCCTGCCTTCAGTCCGCGAGCTTCAGGAGCATTCGGTTTCCTCCAGTGTTGCAGAGGAAACGGCAGGAAGGAATCTTGGAGGCGGCGCCCACGTCTGCATTCCTGACCTCGCAGCACCGTGGGCTTAGGTGCGTCCTTTCTCTTTACCGTGGAAACCACCAGCTCCTGAGCCGTGCTGGTCTGCTGTGAGGATCTGTCAGTGTCAGCCGGGGCGGGGGAGGGAGGCGGCCCGCAGAGCAGCTGCCCCCTCCCAGCAGTGGATGTGCAAGCATCCCCCCCACTGCAAACGTGCGCCCTTATCCTTGCGTTGCACAAGTGCCCTGCAGTGCCGGAGGGTCCTGCACTTTGAAAACATGCATAAAAAGAGAAAAATCTGGAAGGCTGAGATAAAGGTAGCTTTACTCTGTTATCATCGGTCACTGCCGCGAGGCACGGCGTGCATTTAGGGCAGGCCCACCGCGCATGATCGCGGTATAAACCCACCTTTCACACAATCTTCCTATGTTTTAATGTCTGGGCAGATTTCATGGTAGAGAGCGGTGATCGGCACTCTGGGGACCCTTGAGCCGGGGGTGGAACAGCCGCCGCCCTGCAGTGCACTGGCTGGCGCCGGGTTTCTGGGTGTCCTTTTCCACCCCAGTTTCTCTGCAGGCTCCTCCCTAAGCCCGCTGTAGTCAGAGCAGAGTGTCACTGCGGCTGGTCAGTACTGGTCCAGCCTGGAGGTGCCCGGTGGGAACCTGGAGCCCGGGGGGTGTGCACCTCGCCGTGGAGGGCGCCTGCGGGGGCACCCCGTTCTGGAAGGAGCAGCTGGAGGGGGGAGATCGTTGCAGCTAATCGGGCTAAGGTAGACTTGGAGTGATCGTATCTGTTTAGGGTGTTTCCTTCTTGGCGTCTGCAGCGACTTCAGAGCCTGCAAAAGCACATTCTCTGTGCTTCCTGGCAGTTTGTGTCTTGATTTGAGAGCGTATTGAGAAGTGTACCTGTTTTTGAAGTTTCTGAAGGTGGGGAAATCGAAAGCAGATGAGACACAGCTGTGGGTCCGAAGGTCTCTCCACCACGTGGCCGGGAGCACATCTTGGCGGGAACCCGGGTTGGGCCCTGGATGCCACTCCGGTTCCATCTGTCTGGTGGCCCGCGGGGCCCTGCGGGCAGGTGGCAGCCGGGAGCCGGCTTGTTTGCTCCTTTCCAGGGCGGGGGCTGCTGCAGCCTGTGAGCTGCGACACCCAGAGACAGGCTTGGGCACCCCACAATCCTGCCACGTGTGCCCTGGGCTGACATGAGGACTCAGATCAAGTACCCTCATCTTCATTTTCTATTCTGAACGATTCAATGACATTTGAATTTGCTGCTGTTTCTTTAAGCCACCGGCCTGCCTGCATGGGAGTGTCTATAGGGCCCCAAGACGCAGGGGCTGCCACCTGGGGTCCCACGTGGACACGCTGATGTTGCACCATAGCTAAAGACCCTTCTGGGGAAGGTGGGGGTTAGGCAGACTCTGTGGCCATGTTGTTTAACATAACGTACTTATCATTTTTAAGAATTCTGTAATCATCCCAACACAGATTTCCAGGTTTAAAAAAAAAAAGAAAAAAACATTCTATAATCAAAGTCCACCTGATTTTCAGGGGGAAAAATATCCAGATTTCTGTTTGTGAGTTGCTAGCTTGCTTTGCCCTCACATTTCTGCGTGCTCCGTGTCCCGGGAACGTAGTACCTTCGTTCCACTTGTCGTCTGAGAAAGCACAGCCCCAGGGGGCGCGTGCGAGTTAGCGGTGGTTTTCATTCACTGCCCGGGCCTGCCACGCGGCAGCGTGAACCTCGTTTCTCCCGCAGCCAATGAGGAATATTACCAGCTGCTGATGTCCAGCGAGAGCCACCCCTGCGGGCCGGACGTGCCCCCCTGCACCGTGGAGGACATGGAGCGCGTGACCTCCGAGTACATCGGCAAGAACATGGTGAGCGAGTGTCCCGTTCACACGCACGAGTTCTCCGCCCGAGGGGCTTCCCAGCTAGAGCTGGGGATTCAGGAGAGGGGTTCACACCTTTAATGAAGAAAAAAAAAAAAAAGAAACGTGAAGTCGGTGATTCTGGAAGTAGCAGTCGTGTTCTGGGCTTCTGCCTCTCTTCCGAGAGACTTGTCCTTCGTCCCTGGCCACCTGCACCCTACGGCTCAAGGGTGCAGGAGCGAGCCCAGTGTAACCGAGCGAGGGGATCTAGGTGTCATGTCCTCAGGGAGAGGGGACAGACCTGGTGACAGTTGGCTCTCGTGTCCAGGGATTCGTGGTCCTGAGGGGGAGCTAGGATTTGAGACTCCAAAATCTGTGCGTTTTTATGTACCCCATAAAGGTGGGCCCCTTGAAGGGGGTATGGGCCCCACACACACACCCGGCACCCCAGGTTCTCAGATGGTGAGAATAGTTGTAAGGGCCGGTTGGGGACTAACATGTGCTGGGATCACGGTGCAGCTGGGATCATTCTGGCCTGGGAATGGTGCTCCCCAATCCTCCTTTCTCCAGCTGAAGCCCAGGCAGCCCCAGCCCTGAGGCCAGAGGGCCAGTGGCGGGAAGGGACCCTGCGGTGGGTTGGAAGGGCCTGGCCGGAGACCCCTGTTCCCCAGGCAGCCCCAGAGCCCTGGGAGAGGCAGAGCGGGCAGAGGTTGCTGTGACAGGCCAGGCGAGCAGGGTCTCCCCGTCCCACCTCCCAGTCACTCCAGCCTGGACACCGTGTCCAGGAGAGCGGGTAGGTGGCACCTGCCAGGGAGTGGGGACGCCTGGGGTTTCTGGCGCAGGAACCCTGACGTGTTTCAGATGATACCATGCTGGACCCCAGATACGTAACGGGAAGTCGGGCTGGTCTGGCCGGGGCTGACCCAGGGAAGGGCCCAGAGCCCCAGCCCAGCTCCCCACCCGGGCGGCCAGCCTGCCAGCCCCGCCGGACCGCCGTCCCTGGAGTCACACTCTTCCTTCCCAGGACATGTTTGCCGTGGCGGTGTCCCTGGTGACCGGGAAGATCCTGTACGTCTCTGACCAAGTCGCGTCCATATTTCGCTGTAAGAGAGACGCCTTCAGCGACGCCAAGTTCGTGGAGTTCCTGGCGCCCCACGACGTCAGCGTGTTCCACAGCTTCACCACGCCCTGCAAGCTGCCCGCGTGGGGCGTGTGCGGCAGAGCAGGTGAGGCCCGCGCGGGGCGGCTCCGCGTCCTCTCCAGGTGGGCGGGCACTTGTGGCCGGGTGGGGTGGGGGGCCGGGGGCTGGGCCCTGCCCCAGGCGAGGCGCCACAGCCTGTCTGTCAGAGGTGAAAGGTCAGCAGTCATTCCTCTCTTCAGAATAAATACAGAGCAGAAGGTAAAGTCTTTTCGTAAATTTCAGAGAGGGAAAAGCGTTTCAGAAGATTTCAGGAAATGTCAGACATTGTGGAAGCGAAGCTGTTCTGAAGCTCTGGGGTCTTGGCCTCACTGCGCAGCGTGCAGGGGCTGGGGGCAGTGGGGGGCGTGGGAGGCTCCCTTTAGGGGGTACCCCCCTGGGGGCTCGCCACCCTGAGCTGGGGGCTCCCCCAGGTGTGCGTGCCCCAGCCATCGGCCCTCTCCCCACCTCCCCATGCCCTTTCAGTCTGCAGTGGGGGCTGGGGAGGATACGGCCTCACGCCCCCCCCCCCCCCCCAGTCGGTGCGCACCCACCCCATGCCTAATGGATGTGTATGCCCCTCCCCTCCCCCCCCCCCCCCCCCCCCCCCCCCCCCCCCCGAGGGGATGACAGCCACACGCTCTATTGCGGGCAGCGGGCATGTGTGTGCAGTTTGGTTACGGTGGCTCAGAAAGAGGAGCACTTGGGTTCGGATGTGGTTGCCTACTTTCTCCCAAAGTGACGTCCCATCAGACCATCAGAGTTTGCAGGGCAGGGTGTGAGCATCGATTGGGTCAGGGCTGGGCCACTGCGTGGGAGGGAAATGGCTGGAGCATGGACTTAGGGCTTCGGCCCCTGGCCCCTGGCCCCAGCATGGAGCCAACCAGACTTTTGTCTGTGTAATCCCAGCACTCTGGGAGACTGAGGCAGGCGGATCGCTCAAGGTCAGTTCAAAACCAGCCTGAGCAAGAGTGAGACCCCATCTCTACTAAAATTAGAAAGAAATTAATTGGCCAACTAAAAATATATAGAAAAAGTTAGCCGGGCATGGTGGCACATGCCTGTAGTCCCAGCTACTCGGGAGGCTGAGGCAGGAGGATCGCTTGAGCCCAGGAGTCTGAGGTTGCTGTGAGCTAGGCTGAGGCCACAGTACTCTAGCCTGGGCACCAGAGTGAGACTCTGTCAAAAAAACAAACAAACAAAAAACAATTTTTGTCTGAATAAAAGAGAAGGACCAGGTGAATTCTCAGAGGCCTTTCCAAAATGATAATTTTATATCATTGTCTGTAACTAGTAATTTTTCTTCATTTCTTTTGAGTAAATTTTATATGAAAAAAAATCAAGGTCTAAGATTTTTTTAAAAAAATTTTCTTTTTAACACGTTTTCTTAAACTACTATGGAAAGACCCATTCCCTCATTTTTTATGAGGTTGCCCGATTGATTTCATGTTTTTACTAGACATTTTAAATTTTAAAGTAGGTTAATATTTTACCAAGGTATTGATGGTAGCTTTGAAATGCCCTGAATGGTTTCTGTTAGAACTGAATATCCCCAAAATACGTAGCTTGAAACGTTGAGGTCAGGGGTCCTCAAACTTTTTAAACAGGGGGCCAGTTCACTGTCCCTCAGACTGTTGGAGAGCCAGACTATAGTTTTAAAAAAAACTATGAACAAATTCCTATGCACACTGCACATATCTTATTTTGAAGTGAAAAAACAGGCGGGCAAAAACACCCGCATGTGGCCTGCAGGCCGTAGTTTGAGGACGCCTGGTTTAGGGCATGTCACAAAATACGTGTAAATATTCCTCACATCACGCAGTGTGAGTTCCAGGGTCCAGTGCTGGCGTGCGTGTAGCGGCAGTACTCACCAGGGCAAAAACGTAAGACTCCCCCTGCAAAATTTTAGCACTGTGAAATTTGGTGCGCGCCACACTTTGAAATGTATCTAATCTTCATCAGAAAAGCGATGATTTCTAACCTAAAGGACGCGCTTGCTGCCTGGGCGCGTTTACAGCTTTGCACTTCGACTTTTCCTTCTGCTGCTTCTCTTTAGTGCGTGAGCAGTAAGGAACACCGTTTGTGTTTGGTTGTTTAATTGGTTGAGTGACTTCAGGCTTTTTCTTTTAGATTCTTTTGCTCAAGAGTGCATGGAGGAAAAATCTTTCTTTTGCCGTGTCAGGTAAGCCCCATTTCCCAGTTTTCCTAAATTAGAAAACAGCACATTGGGCCGCTCGCAGCGGCTCACGCCTGTAACCCCAGCACTTTGGGAGGCTGAGACAGGAGGACCGCTTGAGGCCAGGAGTTGGAGACCAGCCTGGGCAACATAGCAAGACCCTATCTCTGCAAAAACTTAAAAAATCTGTCATGCATGGTGGCGCACACCCACACACTTGAGCCCAGGAGCTCCAGGCTGCGGTGAGCTAGGCCCGCACCCCCACACTCCAGCCTGGGAGACAGAGCAAGACCCCATCTCAAATAAAAAAGAAAACAAAACAGCACGAGCGTTTCACCCCCAGCACCTGCCGTAGGGGTTAGGAGGTACGTGCACGCTCCCCCGTCCTCCCTGTGCTCGAGGCCAAGGGCCCTGAGCCCGTCTGCTCCCCATCCTTCAGGGGCTGAGGCTGTTCCATGTGGTCACAGCACGCGTGTCCCTGAAAAGTCTATATGAAAACACATTTGAGTGAGTTACGTTTTAAATGTGCAAAGGTGCTAAGACTCTGGCCAACAGTGGGGTGCTTTAGCCTGCTCGTAGAAAAGGCTGGCCGGAGGACCCCACACTTGCCGTCTGTCACCCCGAAAGTCAAGTTTCCCAAGGTCCTCGGGGACTTGGAAAGCACGTGTGTCCTCGGGTTTGCACGTGACTTTTTCTGGGGAAGGCCCGCAGCTTTCTCAACGGGCTCTTGGCCCGAAGCAGAGGGACTGAGTGAGTGTCCCGTTGTGGTCTCGGCAGTTCCCAGGCTGACCCCGGGGCCCTCGGGAGTCGAGACCTAGGACCCCCCCGGGGGGAGAGCCATTCCTTTCCTGTCCGTGTAGCCTGCTCAGATGCAGAGTGCTCTAGAGAAGGGCGGGAAGACCCCCATTCAGTGTGACAGGACTGAGAGCAGGTGGCGGGCCCAGCTGCTTAGGCGGCCAGAGGTGCCTGCTGGCTCCAGCGTGGCCTGGGTCCCCACGTGAGGACGTTACCAGCAAACAGAGGGCTCTGTCGCAATTCCAAACCTTCAGTGTCGCTCTTCTCTGCAGCGTTGGGAAGAACCACGAGAATGAGGTTCGCTACCACCCGTTCCGCATGACGCCTTACCTGGCCAAGGTGCGGGACCAGCGGGGCGAGGAGAGCCAGCTCTGCTGCCTCCTGCTGGCGGAGAGGGTGCACTCCGGCTACGAAGGTAACAGCCACGCCCTCAGCGACTCCACGGTGCAGACCTAAGGTCTGCGAGGCTGACCCGCCCCAGTTCTCCAGCCTCGGCCTCTCCCCCATCGCTGGGCAGAGTCTCCATCGGTCCTGGGACTCGACACACCCAGCCCCCCTTTGTCATCCCGCCCTCCCTGTGGAGGTCCGGGGTGCCGGCATGTCTCGGCCCGACCAGACCATTGCTGTGACCCCTTCTCCCTCTTGTCTTTCGTCCATAAGTGAGAACAGCCCTGACAGGTCTGGGGCCCCGTCCCTCCCATCCTTGTCCCCCTGACCAATGCCTCGGCGTCTTGGGCCCCTCTGAAGGGCAGCGACCCCACTGTCTGCTCCAGCACCCTAAACAGTCTCTCACCCCCCCCCCCCCAGAAAATAGTGCCGGGCACTCCTCCCTCCCTGCCTTGGCCCATCCTAACCTCTCCCTGAACTTCCGTCCTCCAGGCACGTGCTGGCTTCTCCAGACAGGCGGCTGACCTGCTGTAGCGCCTGCACACCCAGTGTCCCCCGCCCCCAGTCTGTGCTCCCCATCTGCTTTCCTGGCGCTGCCCCCCCATCTCGCCTGTAGAAGCCCCGTCGCCGAGCCCTTCATCTGGCCTGCGACTCTCCTGCCCCCTAGCTCCTCGGGGTACCCCAGCCTCCGAAACTAAATCTGGGTGCTTCCTTTGAAACCCAAAGGACCCAATGCGCTGTGCCACCTGGATCATATCCTTCTTGTAGTCCCTCTCAAGGGACTGCTTTGTGGCACCTCGGTCCTGGCACCAGCCACCAGCCAGGGACCGTGGGCACTCCTGAGCGAGTCACGTGGTTTCAAAATTCTGTGAAAGCAGGTGCTGCCTGCCACTGCTTAGCCACAGGACTCCGGTTCAGCCCGTGCTCCCTGTGCTGTGATCTCCTCTCAGCAGTTAAAAAAGCACTTCTTAGGCCCAGCGCGGTGGCTCACGCCTATAATCCTAGCTCTCTGGGAAGCCGAGGCGGGCGGATCATTTAAGCTCAGGAGTTCGAAACCAACCTGAGCAAGAGCGAGACCCCACCTCTACTATAAATAGAAAGAAATTAATTGGCCAACTAATATATATAGAAAAAATTAGCCGGGCATGGTGGCGCATGCCTGTAGTCTCAGCTACTCGGGAGGCTGAGGCAGGAGGATCACTTTTGAGGTTGCTGTGAGCTAGGCTGACGCCACAGCACTCACTCTAGCCTGGGCAAAAAAAAAAAAAAATCATAAAAGCACTTCTTAAAAGTGATGAAATGTTTTGAGTATGTGACTCTCTTTAAAATGTTTGATGTGTCCCTGAATATGGAAAGTTCTCCTCCAAATATCCAGTAAGGATTTAGAGAAGGCCCTTAGTGCTCAACAGGTTCCTCCCCCAAATTTTCAGTCTCCTTCAGGAATGAAAAATTTTGGAATTTTCAATGTTTTATCCATGAATTTGGTAGTTGAGGAAAATTTTGGATATGTGACTTCCTTTACGCAAATTTACCTTCGCCCACCTTAGAATCTGCGACCTTCTCCAACACGATGAAATTTACTGAGAATTTTGAATCTAAGTGTGTGATTCATTTTCTAAAAATAATTTGTTCAGATCGTTCTTGTTTCGTCTTAAAAATCACGAAGGTGGCCTTCCAGCGTGATTTTGCTAAGAGAAGTCTCTACGTGGCGCATGTGGTTCTGTTAACGTGCGATTCCTAGTTGACTGAACTAAAACCAGTCCACAAAGCAGTGGAGACGGCTGGTTACCAGCGTAGGGTCCACCTGCCCTCCATGTGTTGTTCAAAGCCCACGTTTTAATTTTTTAAATTTTTCTTTAGGAACCGATTACTCTGAATCTACATGGCGTTTTCTGGTAGTTTTAATACAATGACGTTAAATATGTATTTCTTACAATCAGAAACGTGTGACATACTCTGTCCTTTCAGCCCCTAGAATTCCTCCTGAAAAGAGAATTTTTACAACCACTCACACGCCGAATTGTCTGTTCCAGGACATAGATGAAAGGTAGGTGGCATTGGCCTGTCCCTCCCCCTGCACTGCCTCTCTGCTGTTGCTTATCTTGGAGTCAGTATTTCATTATTCGTGTCATCGGGTTCTTTCGCAAGATATGTGGTGTTTTGTCATCATCTTGGTAATTACGTAATAAGAGCTAAATAAAGCTCAAGGAATTTTCATGTTTTTGGTATGAACATGAAAGCTATTTAGCTAAGCCAAGGGTGCATGTTGGTTTTATAATTACATGATAATGGACAAAAATGTTTAAGTATATACAGGCAATGAAATAAGTATGGAGTTATGCCAGAAACTTCCTGAGATATGATCCCAGGGTAATTGGGCCCTTTTGGAGAGATGGCGACTGTTCTAGTCTTTATTATCCTGTTTAAATGGTTTCAGGTAGATGACGGGACAAGCAGGGACAGTGTGCCTGCTGCCAGGGTGAGGGCTGAAGCTGGGGGTGCCACTGGCAGGATGCCAGCAGCAGCTTGTCTCCCAGGCCACGTGCTGGGGGCCGCTGCAGGCACAGGGTTCTCTCCTCCTCCTGCTCAGCCCGGCTCGGGCCCCGCCCCGGGTCTCTCTCCCTGGGTGTGGTAGCAGGTGTGAGTGACCCTGCCCAGACTCAGGACACCGGGCTCTGAGTGCTGCCCCGACTCACAGACATGCCTCCTCGGCCCTTCCGCAGAGTCACGAAGACACTGTGGGCTGCGGGCAGCAGGGCGGGGAGGGGAGGTGTCCTCAGAAGACGCCACAGCGAGTGGGCCGGGGAGCACTGGCGTGCTGGGCTTCCTGGAATGGACCGGGCTGCCCAGAAGCTGGGGAGGGTCAGGTGCTCCCTGCTGCCCACACCTGGCCCAGGGACACAAGCCCCCCCCCCCCCCCCACAACCCCCGTCCCTGGGAGCCCGCGGGACCCGGCCGGCGAACTCAACCCCCCCGGAGTCAGGCCATGCAGCCTCGTGGGAATGCTGCTCTGTGGGCGGACGGGAGGCTGGCACCTCCTGGTCGCTCAGGTGTGTGCTGCGGACCACCTGCGGCAGGATCGCCAGAGAGACCGTTGCAAGGTGCAGGTGCCTGGGCCCACCCTGCCCTGCCCAGCCAGGATCTTGGACTGGGGGCCTGGGAGCTGCATTTGTAAGGCAACCCCAGGAGATTTTTACTCTTCCAACGGCTAAGAGGTGTCTGCAAAGCCCTGAGGTGTCCAGCTCAGTCTCGTGCAGGGCGTCGGGGGCAGGTGCGCATGGCGCCTTCCTTAGTGAAGGCTCACGGAGCCCCCGTGCTGGCCGGGGCTCCTCCCCCGTCCCTCTCTCTCCTCCCTCCTCTTCCTCCTTTCTGTCCTCCTCCTACTCCTCTTCCTCCCCCTCCTCCTCCTCTGGCTGAGCCCTGGTGGGGAGGGTGCCAGGAACATTCTGTACTCCTGTCCGAAGGAAGACATGAAGCCTGGAGAGGGAGCGCATCGGACAAGGGGAAGAAAATCAAAGACTAATTCCAGGCCCGAGAGCGAGTTCTGCGCCGCACGGAGCAGGGAAGCTTTAATATGAGACTCAAAGGGAGAGAGAGTCCTCCCGCGCGAGCAGGAGAGTTTGGCAACCTCTGTCTGGTGCGAGGAGGAGGCGGCCGTCCGCTGCGGCGGCGGAGCGGGCTGCAGAAGCTCAGCTCCAGCCGGTCGGGGTGGCGAGGGCACGGTGGCAAGAAGCACAGCGACAGCTCCGCGCGAAGGCGGGCGGGGGGCAGTGGGCGCAGGCCCGGCCAGCCACGGCGACTCCTGGAGAAACCACAGCACGCTGAGCAGACGCAGCGGCCAAAGCGACACGAGAAGGAAAACCGTCCTCAGCTGGAGAAGATGCACGGAGAGGGCGTTCCAGGGCCCGGACAAGACTCGCCAAACAGAAACCCACAACAGGCCTCGTGTGACCACACTAATGAATGCCATAAAAAAAGAAAAAGATCTTAGGAGGAGAAAAACAAAAACGTCATCCTGATTCAGTCTTTCAGGAGATAAGACACGGAGCTGCAGCACTGAGGCCCTAACGAGTGGAGCCCCGCTGGGCCCCAGACTCGTGGGGACGCTGGACTCTGCACTTGCTCACCAGTTGCAAGGCCAGCCGGTCCCTGTTAGCTCAGCTCCAAAATTGTGGGCTCTGGGGAGCCTGGCGCCTGGCCCCTTTCCCCAGGGAACGAGATGGTTCTAGAGCGGCTCTCCCGGGTGGAAGCCGAGCCCTAGCGTGTGTCTGCTTCCTTCCAGGGCGGTGCCCCTCCTCGGCTACCTACCTCAGGACCTGACCGAGACCCCTGTGCTCCTGCAGCTCCACCCCAGCGACAGGCCCCTGATGCTGGCCGTCCACAAAAAGAGTAGGTCCCCTTCTCACGGAAACCCTCGAGCGCTTGACGGACCTAGCGAGCAGTTAGGGCTTCTTCCCGAAGCCAGCCCGGGCCCTGGCAGGTCAGATCGGCTCAGAATGGGCGGGTGGGGGGACCCCGTCCCATCCGAGTCCCAGCGAGGTCAGCGCCAGGTGGAGTCCAGAGAGCAGCAAACTCACGTGGGTTCCTTAGTGGCCAGTTGTATGCCCCGGCTGTGGCCTGAGTCCGTGGCATCTCGCTTTGACTGCTGGCTTCGGTGGCCGAGGGGAGGGAAGACCAAGTCAGCTGCAGCCAGGGAGGCACCGGCCGGGCCGGGGGGTGGACTAGGCACGTCCCCACCAAGCCCAGCCATCACGGGCGCAGGTGAAATGGCCACAGAGACGAAACGAGCCCTGCGGGAAACAGCCTCCCTGTTGCGATTCAAAGCAAAAACGTGGGGCTGAAAGCAGCGGCTCCGAAGAGGGGCTTGCGAGTGACCCCAGACCCGAGTGTGCCCTGACTTGTCTTTTCTCTCTCGGGCCCCGTTTGCCCCCGTGCACACTCCGAACGCTGTTTCTCGCCCTCCCAGTCCTGCAGTCCGGCGGGCAGCCTTTCGACTACTCCCCCATCCGGTTCCGGGCCCGGAACGGGGAGTACATCACGCTGGACACCAGCTGGTCCAGCTTCGTCAACCCGTGGAGCAGGAAGATCGCCTTCATCATCGGGAGGCACAAAGTCAGGGTGTGAGTGCTCTCGCCCGGCCCCAGGCTCCCCTGCGGGTCCTGGGCGTCCCCGCTCCCCACCTGCATGGGTGAGGGGTCACCCGCCCCCGCCCTCCGGGGGGAGGGGCCTCACTCCGGCAGAGTGGGCGGCGGGCAGGCGGCTGCAGGGGGAGGTGGAGGCCGGCAGGGCACGCACCCAGGGGCCGCTGTACACGCAGGGCGGGAGGGGCCCTCCTCTCTGCCCCCCCCCCCCCCCCCCCCCGCCTCACAAGCCGAATTGAAACCCACAGGGGCCCTTTGAACGAGGACGTGTTCACGGCGCGCCCCTGCGAGGAGGAGAAGGCCCCCAGCCCCGGCATCCAGGAGCTCACGGAGCAGATCCACCGGCTGCTGCTGCAGGTGGGTGCGGGCCATCGCCCCCTGCCACGTGGCAGCCCCAGGGCCCCCTGCGTCCGGAGTCCAAACCCTCTGGAGGGCATCAGCGCCGCCCCGCACCCTGGTCCTGGCACCCCTGTTCAGATGGCTCCCCCTGCGGTTCACTGAACGTCCCGAGGGGCCAGTCTGGGCATGGTCTGTGCCAACCCCTGTGACAGCCCCCCACCTGCTTGGCCTTTCCCAGCCTTGCAGCCGTGAGGGACGCGCCCAGGCCCCAGCCCTGACAGGCTGCAGGGTCCCCAGGGGACCCCCCACAGCGTAGGCCTCACTGCAGCCCAGAGTGCTGGGACTTAGGAACATCCTTCTCAAGAAAGATCAGTTTCAGGGGGCCGGGCGCGGTGGCTCACGCCTGTCATCCTAGCACTCTGGGAGGCCGAGGCAGGTAGATCGCTCAAGGTCAGGAGTTCAAAACCAGCCTGAGCAAGAGCGAGACCCCGTCTCTACTAAAAATAGAAAGAAATTAAATGGCAAACTAAAAATATATAGGAAAAAATTAGCTGGGCATGGTGGCGCATGCCTGTAGTCCCAGCTACTCGGGAGGCTGAGGCAGGAGGATCGCTTGAGCCCAGGAGTTTGAGGTTGCTGTGAGCGAGGCTGATGCCATGGCACTCTAGCCTGGGCAACAGAGTGAGACTCTGTCTCAAAAAAAAAGGGAAAAAGAAAAATCAGTATCAGCACAGTTGGCCCATGCCTGAGTAGGTTTCTGCCGCTCAGTCACGGCAGGCTGTGGCCTGAGGGTGCGACTGCGTCCTTCTTTGTTTTTGAAACGTCTCGCAGAGTGGTGACTGGCCGCTGCATGCACTGATGACCGGGTTGAACAGGCTCCCTGTTAGCGGAGTCTCCTGCCTGGGCCACGTACCTGCCTGGGGCTGGGGCACTGGGGGTGGAGGCGGGGGCCACCTCTGGAGCCTGACACCGGGGTTCAAGCCCAGGGCCCCCTCGTCCTTGTCGTGTGACCTTGGGCAGGTCACCAGCCGCTCTGTGTGTTGGGAGGGCTCCCCGGTGAGCTCGGTGGCCCCCATGATGCGTCACAGCACCGTCTGCTGTCCCCCCAGCCCGTCCCCCACAGCGGCTCCAGCGGCTACGGGAGTCTGGGCAGCAACGGGTCCCACGAGCACCTCATGAGCCAGACGTCCTCCAGCGACAGCAACGGCCACGAAGACTCTCGCCGCAGGAGATCGGTACGTCCCACCCTGTCCTTCCCCGAGAAAACGAGGCCGCCGGTGCTCGCAGGAGGTCAAGACGCGCGCTGGGGGCAGCGCTGGGCGCTTAATGCAGCCCTCGGCACCTGGCCGCCTGCCTGCCCTGCACACTTTGCTCGCTGGGACCACGTGAAAACCTCTCAAGAGTCGAGGCAGCTAGGAGCTAGGCACAGATTTGGGCACAGCCTATTTGAAGCGGGCAGAGCAAGCGAAAGTGAAGACTGAACTGTGGGGCAGCAGGAAGAGCATGCGGGGGCCGTTTCGATTCACTTCCCATCGTGCTTCAGGGCCGTCAGCTCGGTTTGCGCAGCTGTGCGTCTGTCTCAGCTGCCCCGCTCGGAGTTCCCTGCGTTGCTGGAGTTATTCCGGCGACGCTTCGTCCTCCCCGAGGGACAAGCTGAAGGGGTCACCCAGAGTGACGTGTTCATTTCATTTTTCTTCTAGGAAACTTGTAAAAGTGGCAGCAAGACCAAACCCAAAAGTCGTTATTCTCATGAACCTGGGGAGCAAAAGGAAAAATCTGTTTCAGGTAAAAAAAAAAAAAAATTCACCATTTCCTTAATAAAACTTGGGTATGGCCAGGTGAGCGGAGGGGCCTGGGTGCAGTGCTAACAACTCTGGGTGGCAGGGGGCTTGCCTTCTACACGTGTGCTCCACCCCACGTATCCAGACTGCTGTGGGGAGCCGGGCAGCGTGGGCAAGTGCAGACACCCCACAGGCCTGTCTCGGCATGGCCAGGTGTGGCCGTGCGGTCACACGTACACGCTTAACTCGTGTGCACACACCGCCGGAGTCTGCCCTGGCCTGGCCTCCCCGCACTGCTGCTCTGTCCGGTGGCTTCACACCACCACACCAGGCTGTGCCGTCCCGTCTGCCCGGCACGTGTGCCCCACGTGTGCACACGCATCCACACGTGCACACACGCCTGTGCGCCCCGGGCCTCTCAGCCACTGAGCCCCTGCTCATTCTTTGCGCTCAGCCTTGCCTCCTGCAGGGGAGCGTGGTGGCCAGAGCACGCTCTAGCCACCCCGTGTCTCCTCCTGGCCACGCATGGCCGGCAGCATCGGCCTTTGGGGTGTGTGGGTGGGCGCGCTGCCTGCTGGGCTCTGCTGGGGGTTGGGGACACACTGAGGAGCCGGGCGTGGCTCTTCGCTCGAGGGCCCCAAGGCGCTGGCATGCTCTACGTGGTGAAGGGGAGGAGAGCGGAGCCCACGGCGCAGCGCGAGCGCGGTCGCTGGGTGTCGTCGTACCAGCCATCACACTGGCGACGCTGGCCCTGCCGGAGGAACACAGAGCACCGGGGATCTCATCGGGCCCCCGAGTGCAGGAGTCCTCGCAAGAGCTGGCCTCTGCCACTGCTGAGTGCCTGGTCCTGGGACAGCCTGGACCCCAGAGAAGAGCAGGCCCGGGCCTGGGTCACGGCCCTCTGTGAGGTCCCTGTGCGGCGGGCACCAGGGCGCTCAGGCCAGAGGCTGCTGTGTGCCCGGCTGTCACTGGGCTTCTCTGCCTGTGAAGCATGTTCTGAGTCCCCAGCCTTATCTTTAGGCAGAATTAACGTGCTTTATCGAGTGTGCGCTTTGTGGGGAAAAGCACTAAATGAGAGAACAATCATGTCCTTTTTCAGAAATGCAGAGTAGTCCCCCGGCTCAGATGAAAGCCGTGCCTGCCGCGGAAAAGGGCAGCTCAGGGGCCGGCTTCTCCAAGGCGAGCTCCCCCGAGGAGCTGGCCTGCAAGAGCCAGCCCGCCTGCTCCTACCAGCAGATCAGCTGCCTGGACAGCGTCATCAGGTACGCCGGCCCTCCGACGGCCCCGCCGCCCGCGCTCCCTCCCGCCTCGTGCCGTGTGATGCCACCGTCCACGCCTCCCCGCAGGTACCTGGAGAGCTGCAGCGAGGCCGCCACCCTGAAGCGGAAGTGCGAGTTCCCGGCCAACATCCCGGCGCTGAGGTCCAGCGACAAGCGGAAGGCCATGGTCGGCCCCGGGCCGCCCGCCAGAGGTATCTGACCCGTCTTGAGCTGTCAAACGTATAATCACGCGAGTCCCCCCCAGTGGACTCAGATGCTCCCTCAAGCCCTGAAGGGCCCTCTCTTCCCTCCCATGTTAGTTCCGGGTGGCTTTTGTGGCTGTAACATAAGGGTGTGGCTGTTTTTAAAATGATCCAAGTAGTTGAAAAGTCAGCAACCTTCTTACGAGCTAGAGGTGACAATGATTCTGGTCTTGGAGGCCTGGCTTTGAGAGCAGGAGCCCAGGGGGGCTGTTGGTGGCCTGGGCACATCCCTGAGCCGTCCTGCAGCCTCACGGGGTCCTGAGCTGTCATTCCGGGGCAGGCTTCCTCCCACTGCACCTCAGAGGAGCCCTGGCCTAGGAAAGGGAGCGTGCCCGTAAGTCCGATTAGATCTCAGGCTGCTTAAAGACTACCAGCGCTGCCGGTGGTCCTTACCAGGGTCGGAAACAGAGTATCCGCCTGGTGGCTGGAGCACGAGAGGTTGGACGGCCACGCTGGGACCGCATGGTTTCGGCCCTAAGCCACAGAGTAGCGCCAAGTGCTTGCCGACGTTGCCCAGACCACTGCGGGCGCCCGCAGGCCGGCGGAGGGGCCGCCTGGCTCCAGACAGACCCCTCACCCCGAGTTCCCACAGCGCCGGGCTCCCGGGCCTCCTCCCAGGGCCCTGGGATTGAAGCGTGTGACATTCCCGCTTGAGGAGTTCCTCTCCCCACTGTCCCCCGAGCGAGCCCTGAGGACAGAGCACCCCGGCCAGGCTGTGCGAGGGGCGGGGTGCGTGCCGCGGCGTGGGGAGGTACTGAGCGCTGCCTGGGCAGGCGGCGCCCCGCGTGCGGACGGCCGTGTCAGTCGCCCTGTGCGTTTGCCTCGGTCTCCCGCAGAGGCAGTGTCTCCCTCCAACGTGAACAGCCACACGGCAGTCAGCACTCGCCTCACCTCGCTGGCGCTGCCCCGCAAGGCGGAGAGCGTGGTGTCCCTCACCAGCCAGTGCAGCTACAGCAGCACCATCGTCCACGTGGGGGACAAAAAGCCACAACCAGAGTCAGGTACGACTGTGGGCTCTCCGACGGGAGAGCAGTCCGATCTTAAAAAGGAGACATTTGGCTGCCATCCTAATTGTTTCCTTTAAGTTCATCTAAGTGCAGAAGAACCCCACCATAGCCCAGTGAGGGGGGTCCGGGAAATCCAGTTGCATAAAATGCAGGATGGGGTGTGGCCAGCCAGGGCCCAAGCGCCCCACCTGTCCCGGTCCCCGAGCTCTCTGGTGCCACCTGGTGGCAGTCGTCTGCTCTGGCACCGATAGGGGAGGGCGGTTTGTGGGGCAGGAGCCCCCTTGGGAAGGCTGGAGCGAGGCCCCACCTCCCGTTCCCTAGGGAGGCTAAGGGCCTTTGCTCTGCCCAGCCTGGCAGGAGGTGGGACCGTTAGCCTCCTCCTTACGTGCAGGAGCCGGTACAGGTTGCAGCAGGACTTCCCGCCGAGGGTATTCATGGCTGAGTTTTTTTGTTCTTTAGAACATTATGATCAAAATGAATCCTGAATTCATTTTAGGGAGATGATGAAGAAAAAGGACGTGTCAGAGATGCAGTCCCCAAACCCTCCCTTACAAGGTGGTCAGTGGGCCCCGCTTGTCCCTGTCCCTGTCCTGTCTGCCCCCACGGCCCCACAGGGTCCCGACTGCCGCAGTGCATGGTCCCGAACCCAGAAAGACCCACATTGACTCCGTTGTGGTGTGAGCCCTAAGGCCAGCCTAGGGGTAGGCCCCTAAGGTTCCGATCCGATCCTACCTCCCAGCTTGCTCAGCGCCCTGGTCCCAGCCAGCTGGTAATCAGGCCTGTTGTCTGCTGTTTTTGCCTTTTACGGTGAACTTTCTCAGAAAGCTAAACAAGGACACCGTGAATTTCACCCTCGTGCCTCGAGCGTCGTTTAGTAATTTTATATGTGAATGATTTGTCTTGTTCATGATTACAGCGCATGCCTGTAGTCTCAGCTACTTGGGAGGCTGAGGCAGAGGATCGCTTGAGCCCAGGAGTTTGAGGCTGCAGTGAGCTGTGACGGCCACTGCGCTCCCGCCTGGGCGATAGAACGAGACCCCATCTCTAAAAAGAAATAATGTAAAATCGAAACGCAAGGGCGCACGGCTCAGCGGCCTGGGTGTTGTGTTGCAGAGGTGGTGGAGGACGCCGTGAGCGGGCCGGACTCCCTGGACTGCCTGGCAGCCCCCGCCCTGCCCTGCGGCCTCGGCCAGGAGAAGGGCGCCTTCCGGAAGCTCGGCCTCACCAAGGAAGTGCTCGCAGCGCACACCCAGAAGGAGGAGCAAAGCTTCTTGCAGAAGTTCAGAGAAATAAGAAAGCTCAGTATTTTCCAATCTCACTGCCATTATTACTTACAAGAAAGATCCAGGGGGCACCTGAGTGAGCGAAGTAAGTAACAACACCTGCGTTAAAGCTGGGTCTTTAAAAAACGTCATTCCTAGTGGTACTGAGTCCAGGGGGGCTTCAAAATGCGAAATGTTCCCGATTTCGGAAGCGTTAGTTTGTAAGACAGCTGTTGGAACTTCACTGGCCATGCAGTCTGTCTCTGTGGACCTTGCAGCCTGGGGGGAGCTCTCAGGATGTGACCTCATGTCCCCGGGGAACAGTGTGGTAGATACGGGCTGCTGTCCCAGGCTAGCCCCTGTGGCGTGCAGCGCCTGGGCTGGTCACTGCTGCTGTGTCTGACCTCCCGTGCCTGGGAAACTGTGGGGCAGGGGCACCGTCTCTACCTGCCCAGCCAGACGAGACCCCCAGAGAGTCAGTTAACTCAGCCCAGAGACAGTGGGCATTAGGTGTGGGGCTCCCGCTGCCCAGGCGGGCCAGCCTCAGGGCTCAGCTGCCAGCTGCCACGGTGGGCGGAGCCCACGATGCGTGAAGCTGCTCTTTAAGGTGAGAGCCCTTGGGGGGCAAAGTGGAAGAGACTAGCTTCCTCACCCCCTTTCTGGCCCAGGAGCCAGCTCCCGACCTCCAATACCTGTGCGTACCCCACCGACAAGGCCCGCATTGGTCAGACGAGCCACCCTTCCCTCGGCTCCCTGAGCCGCTGGCACAAGGATCCAAGCTGGCGAGCCCAGGAGATGCTCCCACTAGGACCAGCTCCCTGGGCCTCTGGGCAGACACTGAAGGGCAGGTCTAAGAAATTAAAGAAACCTGCAACCTTCTTAGGGATACACCTTTTCTGCTCTTTTCTTTCTCTCTGTCGTCCGCAGATGCAGGGTTACTGCCAGGCCATAGGCAACTCCGTAGAATTTAGAAAAAGGTGCAGCCCTGCCAGACCCAGATGTGTTATCCCAGAAATGTAGTGCCTTAGCTGCCAGTCCCACTCGGGGACAGGTTTCTTGTAGGAAGCACAGCAGATAGAGAGGCTGAATCACAAAACCTCCACTCACTGGCGGTTTGCCCTGGGCTGGCCCTGGTGCCTTCAGCACGTCACAAAGGCTCGGGACTCCTTGGCACAGCTGAAAGATGCCCCAGACACCTGCAGGAGCCCTACTTGCTCTGTGAGATGCGCGAGGAACTATGGTTCCCTGGACCACCCCCCCAGGGGGCACTGGGGAAACACGCAGAGTCCCTTCTGTCACCAGCTGAGTCCCTCCACCCTCCTGGGGACAGGCTGTCTCAACAGCACTTGTCCTTAGAGCGGAAGAATTTGGTTCCGGAAGCAGACGTTCCTCCCCGATACTGCATGGAGGCCTTATTTGGCGAGAGAGAGAGGACACGCCTCTGTTTAAGGAGCAGTAGTGATAACGCTGGTAAAATTGAAAAATAAGAAAGTTAGGTGGAGTCAGTGGGACTCCCTTTCAGATTTCATAAGCCCATTTTTTTTTACCCAAATATCGGGAACAGCAGAGACTTGCCTGCTTATTTATGTATACAAATAGAAACTTCTTACCTTTTTAAATACCACTCTTTACCATTTCATAAAGGAAAAAGAAATTTTAATAGAAGAAAAGAAGGAATGTGATCCTCCAACTAAGGGCTGCCCTTCAAATTGACTGAATTTAGGTTTATGGAAAACCTACCGTTTTGCCCTGATTTTTCTCACTCCACCCTGAGGAGCAGGGGAAACCGTAGGTGGCCCGCTAGGCTGGCGTTTGGGAACAAAGGACTGTTGACCTAAGAGGCGACTGCAAGTTTCTGAAACTGTGCAAGCCTCTGAGAATGGACACCATGGGAATCACATACATTCTTAAATTTTAACTCAGGCGGTTTCTCCGTGTTTTAGCTGCCTCTGGACTAAGAAACCCTTCTGGAATAGATTCCTCTTGGAAAAAGGCTGGAAAAAGCAGGAAACTGAAGTCCAAACGGGTCAAGCATCGAGACTCCTCCGAGAGCACCGGGTCTGGGGGTCCCGTGCCCCACCGGCCGCCACTCTTAGGCCTGAATGCCACCGCCTGGTCACCCTCGGACACCTCCCAGTCCAGCTGCCCCGCCATGCCCTTCCCCACCGCTGTGCCAGCGTACTCCCTGCCCGTGTTCCCAGCGGCGGGGACCGTGGCGGCCCCACCTGTGGCGCCCCACGCCAGCTTCCCGATGCCTGCCGTGCCCATGGACGTCCAGCACCAGTTTGCAGCCCAGCCCCCGCCCTTCCCTGCGCCCTTGGCCCCTGTCATGGCATTCGTGCTGCCCAGCTATTCCTTCCCCCTGGCGCCCCCCAGCCCGCCGCAGGCCTTCTTCCCTGGCCACCCCCACTGCCCAGGCCACCCCACACTCGTGTCCGAGATGACGCCTGCCTCGCAGCCCGAGTTGCCGGGCCAGACCTCGATCCCCAGACAGCCGTACGCCTGTCCGGCCACCCCAGCCACCCCACCGTCGGCCGCGGGCCGGGCCTCCCCGCCACTCTTCCAGTCCCGGGGCAGCTCCCCGCTGCAGCTCAACCTGCTGCAGCTGGAGGAGGGCCCCGAGTGTGGCGCTGGGGCTGTGGGGGCAGCAGGAGCCACAGGGACAGCAGCTTCGGGGCCGGACTACAACCCTGGCACTTCTCGGGACCGGCAGCCAAAGGCGTCTCCGACTGTAAGGCTCTCCCGATGCTCTTTTCCCAAAGCAGGCCGCGCTCCCGGCTCGGGCACGGGCTCTGCGCACCTTAGGTCTCCCCCAGACTGTGGAGATTTCCACCTGGACGTGTGTGCCCGAAATTAGCGTCCCCGGTTAAACGGTCCTGTCAGAATACAGCGTTCGGACCTTTTCGTTGTCTAGGGTCTGAACGAAAGGTGCTAGGTGGTCCGTGTAAATGCAGGGTCTAGACAGTGACTTGTCGACAGTGTTTATGGGCCTCAAATTTCTTGTCTGTTTGAGACGGGGTCTCGCTATGCTGCCCAGGCTGGTCTCAAACTGGGCTCAAGTGATCCTCCTGCCTCAGCCTCCCAAGTAGCTAGGACTACAGGCTCGGACCACTGCACCCACCTCTGGGCTTCAGCTTCTTAAATGACTCTTCAAAGATAAAGCACAAACAGTTAAATGCCAGAAGTGAGGCTCCTCGGAGGGCAGAGAGCCTGGCTCAGGTGCCCGGGGAGGAGGAGGAGGGGAATGGCACTTTCACAGCCCGAAACCAGGAAGCCTTAGGGTCACGTAGTGGGATTCTTCATCAGTTCCTGAACTTGTATCTTTATTCCAACCAAGCGCTTGTGTATTTCCAAATGAGCTTGGGTATGCAGACGCATTAGCGGAAATGCAGCACACAGGCCCTCAAAGTCGGGAGGCGGGGGCTGCTGTCTTGGGGAGCCCCCGCCTCGCTGAGTGCCCAGGGCCCCTGCGTGAGGAAGTGGAACTGGTTCTCCCAGTGCATCTCCCACCTCCCGACTCTGGTTTCCGGGGTCCTGGGCCCATGGGGGGCAGGGGTGCTCTCCAGGCCAACCCCTCCCTCGTTCCCAAGGCAGCCCCGCTGCAGGGCAGGCCTGGGTGCTGCACGGCCGGGGCTGTGGCTCTTCCCCGCAGGGGCCCGAGCACCCGGGCCTTGGTGGGACTGTCCCGAGATGAAACGTGATCCGACGGCACTCATAGTGCACCGGCCAGCCCCTCGCTGTGCTCCCAGGGACCGTGTGGTCTGCCCTGCGGAACACCAACGAAGGACGGCAGTCCCCTGAGGACCTCGCAGCCCCTCCGCCCCCGCCCCGCGCCCCAGCCTCGCCGCGTGCTGTGTCCCACGTAGCTGGGCCCCTGAGCACCATGTCCTCTTCTCCCTGTCCCTGAAGCGCCGTGAGCCCTCAGACGCCCAGAACAGTGACGCGCTGTCCACATCCAGCGACCTGCTGAACCTCTTGCTGAACGACGACCTCTGCTCGGCCTCGGCCTCGCCACTGTCCGGGAGTGCGGCCTCCGCCGCCTCCGACTCACTGGGCTCCAGCTCGCTGGGCCTCAACGCTTCCCGCGCCGGCGGGGCAGGTAGGTTGGTCCTGGGGGTGTGGCGTGTGTCGGCCGCTGGGACGCTGGGTGCCCCGGAATCCCAGGCTGACCCTGTGCTTGGCGCGGGCGCACCGGGCCCTGAGCAGCCCCTCGGCTCTCCCTGGCCAGCTGGGGCCGCGGCCTGCCTGTGGCTTCTGATGGCCGAGTCACTGCAGGCCGCCCTGCCAGCCCCTCGGGGACGTCCTTGGCCTGCCTGGGAGCTGTTTGCCTTCCCGGTTAGCTCCCCGTGGGTGGGTGCAGGTGTGGACCACCCGCAAGCGCTTGCTGACTGGGACCTTCCCAGTGTGATGGGGACCGCTGTAACCAGGAACGCACACACGGTCCACAAATCTCAGCTCCCCTCTGTCCCTGGAGCAAGCCTGCACCCCTCCCGGCCTCGAAGGCCTCTCTCCTGGGGGAGGCTGGCTGCAGAGTGCTGGGGCAGCTGCCTCCGCCTTAGGAGACCACGCAGCTCTGTGGTCTGCGCTGAGTCGGGAGACGGCGGCGGGGGCTCGGGAGAGGGGCCGAGGTTTCCAGGGCGCGGCTCCACCCTAGCCGAGCTTCTCGGGGCCTCCCAGGAAAGGTCCACCTCCGTGGTGCTGGTGATGTCCTGTTTTCCGGTCTCCAGATCCTCCCGGAATTGGAAAGAGAAGGGGGAAACCCACCAGCACAGGCACTTGTTAGCTATTGAAATTCTTCGGTCCTCTAAAATTGTCCCGACTTTACAAAATAAGCACATTAGGCCAGGTTTTAATTTTGTATTTCAAGGTTTTGACCCACCACGCTGTGTGTTTTTAAAGGCAGTAGTGACACAAGTCATACCAGCAAGTATTTTGGGAGCGTCGACTCTTCAGAGAACACGCACAGGGCGAAGCCGAGCACAGGCGTGGGCGAGAGTGAGCACTTCATCAAGTATGTCCTGCAGGACCCCATCTGGCTGCTGATGGCAGACACGGACGACAGCGTCATGATGACATACCAGCTGCCGTCCCGGTAACCGCTCGGCCTCTTCCTGGGGACCAGGGAGGGCAGGGCCTAAGGCGCTCCCAGAAACAAGGGGACAGGGCAGGGCGCCACTCTGACAGATCTAGATTGGGTTGAGTGCAGCAGTGAAAAGCAGGCTTCCCTCTGGGCGGAGCCCCGTTGGGGGACGTCCCGCAGCCGGCAGGGAAGGAGGCTCCAGGTTGACCAAGCTTTGCCGCCAGAGCCAGCTCTTTGGCTCTGCTGCCCGTAACCTTGCGGGGTAAATGAGGTATCCACCTGTGTGTCTTAGGGCTGGATGAGCCAAAGGTCGAGGAAGGTGACCAGCCCAGGGCTGCCAGCTGTTTGGTGGTGACCTGGCTCTGGGCCCAGGCTCTGGAACTAGGTGTGATCCCTGCCCTTGCGTAGCACCCCACCCCACCCCCACCTCGGCAGGGGAGGCTGAGAGGGAGGAGGGAAAGGAAGGATTAGCCCCTGAAGCCTCTGGTTGGCTGGGGGAGGCTGCACCCCGTTTCTGGCCAGGACTGGCTGGGGCAGGGCTGCAGGAATTTCCTGGACTAGCCACACCTGTGCAGAACCAAGGCCAAGGGGCGAGGCCACCCCTGCAGACACCCCCAGCCCCACATTTAGTTTAAAATAGAGTAAAATTAAGTCTTCACCCACATTGTCATTTTAACAGAAAGACTACAGGTTATGTTTACTAGGGAAATAGTTAAGCACAGTAATTTATTTTAAATGGAAAGAAAATGTGCATTGAACAGAATCATCTAAAACTACATTATTAATATTGAAAGAGTTGATAGAAAATGAGTGTAATTAGCTCTTGTCATATGGAATAAAAAAAAAAAAGAGAAAAAAAAAAAGAAAATGAGTGTATTCTTAAAAAAGAAAGAAAGAAAGAAAGAAACCTTGAAACGTTCTGAAGCTTGCCCGTTTCTGAATATTTTGTGAAGGAATGCAGAAACGGTGTTGAAGGAGGACAGAGAGAAGCTGAGGCTGCTGCAGAAGTTCCAGCCGCGGTTCTCGGAGGCGGAGCGGCGGGAGCTGAGCGAGGTGCACCCCTGGATGCGCACGGGCGGCCTGCCCCCCGCCCTGGGCGCCGCGGTAAGCTCGCCCGCCCTCGGGGGCGCTAGGAGCGCTGTGATGGGAGCTCTCGGTGCTGTCCTCGTGACTTCTCTGTGAATATAAGACTTCTAAAATTATAGTTTATTTTAAAGAAAGGTGCTGTGAGAAAGGAGCTTAACAGGCTCAGGGCGCTGCCAGGCCTGCTCGGAGAGCGCCCTCCCACGGCTCTCCAGCAGGGCCTCCGCAGAGGCCAGGCGGAGAGGTCTCGTCTCAATCCCTTGCTGCAGGCGGAATGTTTCCCCCTGTGCTCAGTTCTGTTTCCTGTTTTCAAAAACCAAGCCCTCTCCTGCCATAAGCGCTCAGTGTCCATGGAGACCTTTACGCAGCGTCCCTGCCATCCTGCTCCCACCCGGGGCAGTGTCGCCCCACTGCGCTGTGGGGGCTGCTCTCGGCGAGGCCTCCCGCAGCTGAGCTGTCGTGTCTCAGTCCCCGTCCTGGGAGACGGCCAGGACGGCTGGCCGCAGTGAGAGGGGTGCCTTGCTCCTTGGAGCTCTGCCTCCTCTTGGCCTCGGGGCTGCTCTCCAGCCCCTGGTCTCCCCGCTAGGGCTCAGCGTCCGCACCTCCCTTCTGCCTGCGCTCCCTCCGATCTCTCCCCTGCCCAGACCTGAAGCAGCATCTGTGTGCAGAGAGCCCCTGGCATCCGTCTGCCATGCTGCCCTCTGCCGAGCTCCTCGTTTCCCCGGAGAAAACCCGCTCGCCCCTCTCCCAGCTCCCTCGAGGGCAACTGCATCCTCCCTTGCTCAGGCCTCAGAGCCTGGAGCCGTCCTGAACCCTCCTCCTCTCAGGACCCCACCCGTGTCCATCAGCAAAGTCGAGCTCGACTTATGGTCACCTCCAGTGCCACCACCCATGTCCAAGCCGTGACGGTGCTCCCCCGGATGTCAGAGTAGCCCCCAGCTGCACTCAGTGGTCCCCGCAGCCCCGGGCAGTCAGACCATGTCACCTACAGCTCAGGCCCTTCTGGCGCTGCTGGTCTCCATCAGAACAAACGGCTGCACAGCTGCACGGTCCTGTCCCGCCCCCCATCCCCCACCTCGGCTGCCTCCTCTCTTCCCCCACCCTCCTCCCCAGCCCCCCTGCCTCTTGGCTGTTCCCCGCTGGCCTGTGGCCACAGGATCTTTGCACCTGCCCTTCCCTCTGGAATCCTCTTTCCCCAGATGCATGCGGGACTTGCTCTGGCTTCCTTCAAGTCTTTTTTCCGTGTGCCACTTACTAGTTATCTGCTGCTGGGTAGCAAATGGCCCCGACACGTGGTGGCCTGAAGCAGTAAACGTGTGTTTGCTCACGGTTCCTGGGCGTCAGGAGTTCGAGGGCAGCTTGGCTGGCAGTTCTGACTCGGGCGCTCTCCTGAGAGTGGCAGGATAGCTGCTGAGGCGTCTGTCATCCACGGAGGCCCACGCCAGGCCTGTCGGCCGTGCTGGCTGGTGGCAGGAGGCCTCCCTCCCTTGCCATGGGGACTTCTCCACAGGGCTGCCTGGGTGTCCTTGTGACGTGGCAGGTGACTTCCCCAGAGAACAAGAGGAAGCCCAGTGCCTCCTACGACCTAGAGTCAGAAGGCAGCTCTCCTAGCCAGAGCAAAGCCCCACATCCAGCCCAGCTGAGGGAGGGGAGTTAGGTCCCGTCTTCTGAGGGCGGGTGCAGAGAGTGTGGGGACATGTTTCAGAAGCACTGCGTCACCTTTCCTGTGGCCTGTCCTGAGTGTCCACTTGAAAGTCACGGGCGTCCTCCACGCACACTCTCACTGTGCATGCTGTTCCCTGTCAACAGCACAGCGCTTTTCCTTTCTGAGTATCCCGTGGAGCCTTTCTTACTGAGGCCACTGTCCCCTCTCCTCTCCCGGGACATCCCTGCGGCAGGGATCTTTGTGCTTGTTGCTGGCAGCCGCGTGGTTGACACCCGGTCACCTGCACCTTGCTCGGTTTGAGCACTGCTTTGTCACGAGGGTCTCAGGTCTCGTGGTTGTTACTCATGTCACATTTTTCTCTTTTAAGGAATGTGTTTACTGTGAAAACGAGGGAAAAGGCAACATTTGTGTACCATATGAGGAAGATATTCCTTCTCTGGGACACAGCGAAGCATCCGACACCAAAGAAGAGGACAGCGGGTCCCCCTTGAGTCACAAGAACGAAGAACAGACATAACATAACCCCCACCCCACCCCGCCCTGACAGCCAGTGATCTACATTAGATGGTGCTTAGAAGAGAGAAGGATCTTCACATTTGTTTCTAATGAAATGGACACGTATACTTATGTTGCTTTTTTGTTTTAGAAAAAAAAACATAGTTTTCTGAAGGGGTGACTTTAAACTGTGGAGGGTGGGGAAGGTTGGGGGGAAGAAATACGATTTTATATTTAAAATATATATATATATATATGGAGCTTCGTGGGATAGGGGAAGAGATTTTATTAATAATTGTTATTTAATTTGAGAAAGACTGCAACACCTCTGTGTGTCAGGGAAGCCACTGGCTCTCGGAAGTCCTTCGCCTGTGATGAGCCCTGCCCAGTGCCCCACTGGCCACCCCTGGGTGCTCCCAGGCACCCTACCAGGCCGCCTCGAAGGCCCGGACGCCACGCCACGTGGGGCTCCCTGCTGAGGACTCCGGCCTTTCAGAGCTTTCCCCGGGTGTGCCTGATCGGGCCACATTCTTGGGGGCCGCTTTCTACCTAAATTTTCCTTTAGGCAAGCTAGGTTTTCTCGTTCACATACCAAGTGGAGATTACAGCCTCTCTTAATTTTCTTTCTAAGTGTTTCATGTTAAACGGGGAGGCACGGTTTGGCAAAGTAGCTGCTTTGGCTTTAGGCACCGCAGTGGTCGGTATTGCAATCCGGTGTCGCTTTTGTCTGTAGTGAACAAAGTTGAAACGTTTGCTCTGGACGAAAGGAGCCTGGTGGTCTGTGGGACCGGCTCCGTCAGACGAGCGCACCAGACCCCCTTTGTACATCGTCTTGCCTCCTCCTCAGACCACGATGGCCAATACGTGGGAACACACGGTGCCAGTCATGTCTTTGCAGTGACGTCCCCTGCCAGCTAGGCCTTGACCGGCACGTTGGGAACCCCGTTGTGTGGGGTTTTCTCCCGGCAGACAGTAGCTGCTGCCACCGCGAGTGTGTTCCCGCAGCTTCCAGCTACACCGTCCGTGCTTGCCTGTCCCACTGCACCTGGGCTCGGTGCCTGGCCCTCATCATCTTTGTGAGCGCGCGCTCACCTGGTGTAGCCTCAGCTCTGCCAGTATCACCGGAACTTTCAGGTCATCTGGACACTTGGGGGAAAGTGAGGTCGGTCTGCCCAACTTTTCACAAAACCTCATGTCGCATCACGTATCCCAAAGATGGCTTGGAAAATGTAATGATGGTCCTTGGTGTGGATGCAGAGTTATCACTGATAAGACAATTGGCTTGAAGTCGGACCAGTTCTATGAAGCTTAAAAGGAAGCAGGGTTTTCCTCGTTCTTTGACAGGGAAGTGGCTACAAGAAAGATGAAATGTCCTTGTAATCCAGTTGGTTTTCATAGTAAAACCGTCTTATGCCTGAATGTTAATCTTATTAAAGGAACACTTTAATTATTTTTTAATTTACAAAGTCATGTCACCTTCAGATGCCCCAGGTAAGGAAGGTTATAGCCTATTTTTATGGAAATTAGATGTTAGAAACTGCTTTCCGCCTCTGAGGTCAGATCATAAGAGGATAGGCGATAATCTAAGGTTACATTTTTGTTACCTAAACACAGAACTGCCAAAACGTTCTCACTCTACTGTTATGAATGTTTACCATCGGCATTATTTTATCATTTCATACAAGCTCTCTGATTGTTAACTGTATAGCTTCAACGTGTGCTGAGAAGTTGACTTAATAGGGTCATTTTGTGATTTTGTTTACATGGGAGGTCAAATGTCGAGTCATTTTCTTTAGTATGTGTGCTTACATGGGTGTTAAAAACCTTTTCTCTATTTTAAACTGAGCCTTCTTTTTAATATATTCCTAAAAAGGTATGTAAATAAGCTCTCAGAGTTTGTGTAATGATTTGCCGGGCCTTGCCGAACAAGCGGTTTGTTCGTGTGCGAACCAAACTTTCTTCACTCAGTGCAATATATTTGTTTGACTGCTTGTGTCTTTTTATGACCTTTTTGCCTTTTAGAAAAATTGGTAAATAAAGCAAGTATATTTTTATTTTTAGCAGTATGTATTTTCAATAGAGGAAAACCTGAATGGAGATCAAAGATTATCAAAAGATTTTTTTAAAAAAAAGAACTCCAGAAATTCTGCCTTATGGAACCTTCAATCCCAAATGCCTCGTGCGCCTCCCGCATGCAGTTCGCTGCTCGCTGGTCTCCTTTCTGTGTGTGAGAGAGTGGACTGCTCTATAATGCAAATCTAATCATGCACTTGCCCCCACGGTCCTTTCACTTGCAAATTGAGGGCTGCCGCTGCCTGGCTACACCCCCAGAGCTCCCCGACTCTGACCGGGGCACCCACTCTGTTCCCTTGTCCCCGCCCCTGCTTAGCTGGCCCTCTCACTGGCTGCCCGTGTTCTGGCTAACGGCAGCGAGGTCAGAAGGATGCTCCACCAGAAAGGCCTCGGGTCCCCAAGGGGATGACACAGGCAACGCGGCACTGTCTCCCAGCCCTTCTTGCCACAGTGATGAAACCTTGTGAGACCAAGACAGGGGAGGCCCGAAGAGCCCACTCGACCCCACCCCACCTCCCATTTCTCAATCCAGGACCTTGGGAGTTGGAGCAGAGAGGTGACTGGGTCTGGACCCAGTGTCCAGCCTCCCAGAAGCTCCCTGCACAGCCCCCTGGCCTGGCTGCCTCACTCCAAGCACGGACGAGGGACAAAAGGCATTGTCCTCTTTAGAAGCACAGGGGCCTCTGCAGACTGCCCTAAATGGCCAGCTATGGTGTGTCACCGAACTTCTGAGTGCCTTTGGGAGACCCTTAATTGCATTTTTATTTGCCATATACCCCCCAGGGTGCCCCCTCCTTTATTTCCAAACCAAAAGGAGATTCTCTAAGTCTCTTGGACAGACTGTCCACAAGGGGCCTGGACGCTGCAGGCTGGCCGCTGCCTTTGTTCCCCATAGATTTATGGCCTGCCACCCCTGCTGCTAACTGGTCCCCCCAGTGGCAACCACGGCCCTGCCCAGCCTCTGCTGGCCTCTATTCCTGGCTTGGGGGGGGGAGGGGGATCAAAGTGCCCAAATGCTCAGGAAGTCTGTGCTCAGGCAAACTTTGAAGGCAAGATTGGCCCAAAGGACAAATGGCAGGAAGTATCAGCTAGGGCAGGCTGTGTAAAGGACAGAGGAAGGGCTTGGTGGCCCCAAGACAGGGCAGCCAGGCTTCTGGACCAAGCCAGTGGCCAATAGGCCACTAAAGGAAACTGAAGTGACTTTGCAGACGGGACCTTAGGCAACATCCAGTCCAACCAAGAAGGATGTTACTCACTGGTACAGTCTTTTCTACTTAGGCTGTTTCCCCTCAAGACTACTTGGTCATACTGATGCATATCCCAGTACTTCATTTCTCTTTCCCTCAACTCTAGACAGTATTCTTCAATCCCCCTCTGCCCCCCACTGTGTCAGACAAGGCTTTTGAGGTCCTAGCCCTCCTTTCAGCCTCCTCCCTCTCCGGTGTCACCTGTCCTTTTGTTTTCACTAAGTCAACTTTTTATATGGTGTCCTATAACCATACATAAGCCTTCCTTGCCTTTTCTATTGATTAATTCCAAATGTTGAAGCCCTGTGAACAATGTTAAATTGTGACTGTAAAAGAATTGTTGGGTCTTAAGCCAAGTCATGTGCTAAGGTTACGTTTCTTTTCTTGGGCAGCTTTTTGTTTTTCCTGGAGTTCCTAGTTGCCTTCCATTTTTTGCTTGCACCATTTGCCTCTGTTATGTCCTCTTTCTGCCCCCCCCCAAGTTCTCTATCCAGTCAGATGTTCTACTGGGCTCTTCCCAGAGGCACCCCCCCAAGGCCCTGGTCATCTAGTTCCAGTACGAATTGCCTTCCATGGAGAGCATCCTAAAATATCTGCTCGGCCTTGTTCACTTGGATAATGGGAGGAGTATAAATCGGTTTGCAAACTTGGGAGTACAAGAAATATCACTGAGTTTATGTTTCCCTACCTCACTTTCTCAAAGTAGTAGAAATTTAACTGTAGCACTTGCGTGTCTCCTTTCTCAGGGTGATGTCTAAGTAGTGAAGGAGAGTAGTCACAGGCCAGCTACGGGCTCCCGCGGCACCCACCCCTGCAACCCCCCACCAGCGCCCCCAGGAGCAGCAGGGCATGGGGGAGGCCAGCTGGGTCTCTGAGCAGCCCCAGGAGGGTGGGTGGAAGCAGGTCCGATTTTTCCACACTCCTTCAGTGATGGGGGCTGCAGTTAGTCTCAGGGGCCTGCTCATAGAGGAGTGGGCAGGAAGGGCTCCCAGGTGGTTATAAAGGTCAGGGAGGTGACTCTGGGAACCTTCAAACCTCTCACCAAACTTGCCCTGGCTGAAGCCTGCACGAGTCCCTCCCTCGGTGGGAAGCTAGAAGTGAAGGGAGACCACACGGGCTGCCATACCCATCCTCGAGAGGGTTGGGGGGGGCGGTCTGCGCCTAGCCCTGCCACTCTGCTCAGCCGCTGGGGTCCCTCCATGTCCCCTCCCTTGCAGCCTTCCAGTCAGGCTAGGGACACCCCTCCCCTTCCCTGCCCACCCAGTGCTCCTGCGAGGCCAGGCTGGCTCTGTGCCCGGGCGCGGGAGAGGTGGAGAAGGGGTCCTAGGTCAGACTGTCCTTGACCGGGGACGCTGGTCGCCTAGAGGCGCTCACAGAAGACCCCGACAATCCCAGCCCTGGGAGCGGCGCAGGCCTGGGCAAGGGCTTGGTGCTGCCGTGGGGCAGGCCCAGCGGGCCGGTTCCTAGAAGGCAGGCAACCCAGCGTTTGGACTCTGCCAGGCGGCAGCCGGACCGAGGCAGGTGGAGCTGGCGCAGGGCCAGGGTCCCCAGGGCGCTACCCAAGGGCGCGGCCCCGCCCCACCCGCGGCGAGGCGGGCGGGCAGATGGGCGGCCCCAGGCGGGGGTCGCGGGCGTCTGGGCGACACAGGCGCGCCCGCCGCCTGCTCGCGGGACAAAGCGGGCCGAGACAAAGGCGCGGCCAACACCTGTCGCTCTTGGCGCGGCCGCCGCTTTTCTCCGCCGAGGCGGCTGCAGCTGCCAACTGTCACGGGCATCAAGTTACGGGGCCAGACGGCAGCCCCGGCGGACCGGGAGGGGGATGGGGTGGCCGCGGAGGGACAAGGGGGACGGGGGCACGAAGAGGACTAGGAGGGGAGGGAGGCGGGGTGGGGGCCCGGGAGGGACGGGCGGGCGTGGCGGAGGTGGATGGGGGTGACAGAGAAGGAGAGCCGGGGAAGAGCGGGGCACCCTGGAGCCCCCCCACTGGGATTGCGGCGCTGGCGGAGGGCGGCGGCGCCGGGGTCAGCCCGCAGCCGGGACGGATCCCCCAGAAAGGCTGGGGGCCGGGGGGGGGCCCTCCTCCGCTGCCCGATTCACCCCCACATTCCCGGGGCGTCACAGTCACCCCATCCAGACCTGAAGCCCCCTCTAGGTCCCGAGACCGCGGACCGCACGGTGGCTCTGCCCCCGGGACCCGGGCCACCCCGGGGCGGGAGAGGGAGAGCGAGTGAGCGGCGGGAGGATGGCGGGCAACGCACGAGCCCCTGCCCCGCCGCACCGGGGGCGTTCCCACCCGTGCGGGTCCTAACGCAGCCGGCGCGAGGGAGGCCGGCACACGGGCTGCGCCCGCTCGCGCCCCCGCGCGCGCCCGCTCGCCGCCCCGCCAGCGGCGCCCGCTCGCCGCCCCCCCGCCGGCCGCGCGCGTCCCGCCCGGTGCCGCCGCGGGTCGCGCGGAGGCCGGCCGGGCCCCGCCCCGCCAGCTGCCGGCCGCCGCAGCCGCGGGCCCACAAAGCGAGCGGCGCCCATTGGCTGCGGCGCGCCTCCCCGTCGGCGGCCCGGCCCGCGCGGCCAATCGGCGCGTTCAGATGCAAATCAGCGGCTATAAAAGGGGCGGGGCCGCGGCGATCCGGAAGACGCGGGGCAGCGCGGGCCGCGGCCGCACGGCCGGGTGGGCGAGGGCGCCGCGCTCCTGCGCACGGGCATGGCTCCGCCCCTGGCGCCCGGCAGGGACCGCGCGGGCCGGGAGGATGAGGACGGTTGCGAGGCGCGGGGGGACCGCAAGGTGCGGGCCGGGCCGGGCGGGGCGGCGGGCACGCGGGCGGGAGGCCGCGTGCGGCCGGGACTCAGGGTCCGCTTCCCGCAGGCCCGGAAGCCCCTGGTGGAGAAGAAGCGGCGCGCGCGGATCAACGAGAGTCTGCAGGAGCTGCGGCTGCTGCTGGCGGGCGCCGAGGTGCGGGGCCGGGCGCGGGCTGCGGGGCGGGCGGGGTGCGTCCGGGGCGCAAGGCCCGCTCACCGCCGTCCCCGGCCCGGACAGGTGCAGGCCAAGCTGGAGAACGCTGAGGTGCTGGAGCTGACGGTGCGGCGCGTCCAGGGCGCGCTGCGGGGCCGGGCGCGCGGTGAGTGGCGGCGGGGCGGGCTGCGGGTGCCTGCCAGCCGGGCGCGGGAGCGTTCACCCACTGGCCCGCCCCTCTGGCGCCCCTATCCTGTAGGCGGCGAGGGCTCCCCCCGGAGCAGGGTGTGCCCCGTGTCTCCTGGGTGCGCCCAGTCCCGGTGGGCCCGTTGGGACGCTGGTCTCTCCCTCCCACCCTGGGTGCAGAGCGGGACCAGCTACAGGCCGAAGCCAGCGAGCGCTTCGCCGCGGGCTACATCCAGTGCATGCATGAGGTGCACACGTTCGTGTCCACATGCCAGGCCATCGATGCCACCGTCGCTGCTGAGCTCCTGAACCACCTGCTGGAGTCCATGCCGCTGCGCGAGGGCAGCAACTTCCAGGACCTGCTAGGGGACGCCCTGGCCGGAGCCCCTGGGCGCAGTGGTTGGCCTGCGGGAGGGGCCCCGGGGTCCCCGATGCCCAGCCCCCCAGGGTCCGGGGACGAACTGTGCTCCGACCTGGAGGAGGTCCCTGAGGCCGAACCGAGTCGGGCACCTGCTGAGGGGGCAGACTTGGTGCCTGCAGTCCTGGGAAGCCAGACCGCATCCCGAATAGCCCAGAGTGTCTGGAGGCCTTGGTGACCAACGCCAGCCAGGATCCTCAGGGAGTGGGCCCAGCCTTCCCGTGCTCTACTCCCTTCTCCCTGGGGTTGACATGTGGTGGGGCAGGGCCCTGGGTGTCTTCCAGATCTGCCCTCCCCGCCCCTCCACTGGCCGGCTTGCAGGCAGCCCCTGAGGACCAGCCCAGTCCGGTCCCCAGCCCTGTTACATCTTCCCTGTTACGTCCTGAGGACGTAACATTTATGGACCCTGCAGCTCAGGAATGGGTGGCGGAAGGGAGCTAGGGCAGTAGGAAGAATCCTGTAGAGCCACCAGGGCTCTCCCAGGTTCAGCCTTCTCTGCCGAGGTGTGGGTCTGAGGGCAGGGGTGACAGCAGTGGTGCTGGGTGCTGGTGTCCCAGGGAGGGGTGCTCAGGCCCTGGCAGCCCTGGGCTAAACAGAAGCTTGAATTTGCCACTTTGATGGGAGACAAGGGGAGGCAGGTGCGTTCCGCAGCACTGCTCCAAGCTGCCAGAAAGAAGCGAGGCTCTGTCCATCTTGACTGTAGCACACTTGAGATTGTGTATTCGGTTGCCATCAAATGTTACAATTTTATTAAATAAAGAATTTTGGACTTAGTTACCCTTGAAGTATTACCAGATGGTGTGGTGTCGTTAATGTGTCAGATATGTAAATGACAAACTAAGCACATTTTTCCTGCATCTGACTCCTGCGAACGTCCTTTAAAACTTCGCCCTTTATCAGCGAAGTGAGTAGTGTGACGTGTTAGAACACCCTGTGGCTCCTCTCGCAGGAGACAGTGCTCTGCGTCCCTGTGGCTGGACAGGTCCTCAGGCCTGGCCACTGTCCCTGGCAATGTGTGTGTGACCTGAAGGATTCCATTGGCGTGGGGTCTGTCTCCGGGGTAACTCGTGATAGGGAAATGACCTGTCTCTGCACCATGTTCTTGCTGTGAACTTCAAGAATAATAACACTAATGCCTAATTGCTAGCTGCCGTCTGGGTGGATGTATCTTTCAAAGACCTGTTTTCCAATCCATAAGTGTGATGCGGGTGTCAGGACCACTTGTGTTCATTGTCACTTTTCTTGACTGAAGAAAGAATGGTGCTCCCTGGTGCTATTGCCTTCAGGGACAAGGGGACCCACCCAGTTCTCGGCTTGATATGAAAGTGCCAAGGCCCTAGGGGGCTTGAGCCTGAGGTTGAACTGGGCCCAGGAGGTCAGATCCCTCAGGGATGGGGGGTGACGGGATGGGCAGCTGGGGTGCAGGAGCCTGACCTCTTGGGCTGGGTCAGGCCTGCAGATAGCACGTGGTCAGTTGGCTGCAATCACTGCCATGGCTAGCCTAGTCCCCTCCTCCTGCTTCAGGCCCCCAGATAGCTTGTTCTTACTTTGGGTTGGCAGTACCCAGGCTGGGGCCAAGCTGTGATGACTTGGAATTGAAATCTGAGTCTCCTCTATGGTTGTGTACTTTTGCCTTAAGAACATCTTCCCTGTTACAAAAGCCCTCAAGCAGATCATGGCCACCAAGGGTGTTTCAGAGTTTGGGGTTCACTCTGGCACCCCTGCAATTCAATCATAGACCAAAGCCACTGGACTATAGCCAGATGCAGCCTAATTTTAGCAACTGGGGCTGAGCTGCTGAGGGAAGGGTGGGTGAGGCAGGTCCACAGATGGGGCTTGCGGAATGGAAACATCATTCCTGGAATTATTTTAATTACCCCAGACAGACTGATGTAGGGCGTGTCCACAGGGACAAGGATGGATAACAGGCCATCCTGAAAGCCCTGTCCCATGTCCTCCCAACACACCCAAAGGCCACTGCAGTAAGCTCTGATGCCATTTGGGGAGCATCAGCAAGGCACTGCTTTCAAAGAACAGTTCTTTCCTTTTACTTCCACTCTCATCACATCTTCCCAGGGGCCCTGGAAGGGGGTCAAGGATGCAAGGTACAGGAGGCTGACCTGGGGTTAGTGTCGCTCAGACCAGGAGCAGCCCAATGCCAGAAACCACAAACCATCCCTGGCCCACTGTGTTAGTTTTCTATCACTGCCACAACAAATGACCACAAACTTGGTGGCTTAAAACAACGCACAAACGTTTACTATCTTGCAGGTTAGAAGTCCAACACAGGATCCACTGGGCTACAATCAAGGTGCCGGCAGGCAGGGCTGCTTTCCTTTCTGGAAGCTTGAGGGTAATCCATTTCTGTGCCTTTCCTCGATTCAGAGGCCACCCACGTTCCTTGGACAATGGCCCCTTCCTCCATCTTCAAAGCTCCTTCATCAAAGTGTTGCATCACTCTGACCCTTCATCCGCCCTCCTGTATCCCCAGACCCACTTCTGCCTCCTCCTTCCTTCTGCCTTTAAGGACCCTTGTGAATACATCGGGCCCAACTGGATAATCCAGGATAATCTCCCCAAACCAAGCTCCTTAACTTAGTCCGTCATATTTGCAGAATCTCTTTTACCATGTAAAGTAACATCCTCGAGGGTTCTGGGAGCTGGGATGTGGTCATGGGGGAGGCATTATCTGCCTCCCACACCCCCCCCATGCCTTGGACCAGGCATCCTGACTTCCATCGGGCCACTTCCCCACAGGGCACTGGGTCCCCTACCCTCTCCTCTGCTCGGTGACTCTGCTCTCCCCACTGCATCATTAACTTCTCCTCCCTCCCGGATCACTCTTGTCAACCTACAAACAAGCTGTAAACACCTCCCTGGACCTGGCCTACCCTGTTAGCCTCTGCCTCATTTCTCTGCTCTAAAGCAAAATCCCACTCGCTGTCTCCGCTTCTGCATGTCTAGTTCTTCATTCCTCTCCAACCAGGCTGTTGTTCCGCCCCTCCACTCACACTGCCTGTCCCAGGGTCTCCAGCCACCGGCCTACTTCCCAACCCAGTCTCCGTGTTCAGCTGAACCTCCTGTGGGTTATGGCTCCCGCCACCTGGGGCAAGCAGGAGGTGAGGCAATGAGAATGAAGACTATTTTCAAGAAACTTGACTGTGAAGGAAACAGTAAGATATCTAGCAGACCTCAGTGGGGTGCTGGTTCCTGGGGAAAGAGTGGATAAGACAGAAGGTTGTTGGTGCTTAAGGTTTGGAACTGGTTCAACTGTGAGTGATGACAAGGTCGATGGTGGGGATACTGGCCGACCTCATGACCGCCACCCTCCTGGGCCGCCCTTCCCCACTGGCCACCTCTGCCGGCCCCCGTGGGCATGTCCTTCCTAAGGCTCCGTCCTCGACCCTTCCCTGGGCCCGCACCCGGCGACCCCGTCTGGGCCGTTGGCTCCACCCTGTGTCCGTGATCCCGAGCCCGTCCCCCGCCTGCTGGCTCCCCTGTACTCTCCCGTCTGTCCACTCGGTGTGGCCACTTGGGTGTCAGACGGGCATCGCCGCCTCGCCACGGCCAAAACCATCACCCACGCCCCAAAGGCGGCGCCACCTCTCGGCAGAAACAGGGAGACGTCACCCTCAGGTTCCTTCTTTCCCTGCCTTCCCGCTCCAAATCAGCCAGGCCCGTGCGCTCCGCTTCTAAATCCGGCCCCGACCTGTCGTCTTCTTTGCCACCGACCGAGTCTTGTAACCCGCGCCAGGCAGCAGGTGTCTGGCTGCCCTCCCCGCTCCAGTCCCGGCCGCGGCCTCCAAGGCTCGGCGCCGCCCGGCCTCCCCGGCCTCCCCGCGCTCTGCTCTGGACTCGGGCTTCCGCAAGTGGCCCGAGGGCCAGGATCCGGCCAGCCTCGCTCAGCCCCGCGCGACCCGCCCTGGAGCCCTTCTGGGACTGCGGGGAGCCGGCGTTCGGGAATCCGAGGGACCTGGGACTAAGGCTGCCGTAGCTCCGCAGGCCTCCGGGAACAGGGTTCCAGTAGCTCGCTGCGCTCGGAGACGCTCGGAGGGGCCGAGGCCTTGGCCCCGCCCCTCACGAGGCCAACCGCGAGGCCTCCTGGGAGATGTAGTTCAAGCCCCTCGCCTTCGTCTCTGTCGGGGCTGCCGCAGGGTGAGCCGGGACTGCGACTCCCAGAGGCCTCCGCGGCTCGGAGGCGGCGTCCCCAGTGGCCGCGAGCTCCGAGCCGGGCGCCCAACGGTGCGCAACTGCGTCCAACGGTGCCGGAGGGCGCGCGCCGCCCGTTAAGCGGCTTGGCCGCGGCGGCGGCGGGGTTGCGGTCTCTCCCACACCCCGGGGACCAGGAGAGGACGCGAAGAAGGCGCCGGCGCTCTGCAGCTCGGGCCCTCCGCAGCTGCCGCCGCCCGGCTGAGGCGCGAGGGGGCCGGCTGCGGTCCCCGGCGCCTGGGCGTCGGGAGCCTTAAGGCTGCGCACGGGGTTCGCAAGTGCGGCCAAAGCCAGCGACTGAGGTCGAGGAAGGAGGGGTCGAATGGAAGCGGGTTTCTCGAGGAGGGAGGACACTGTTGGCTGTGCCAGAGCCCGAGCGCCGGCTGTGCTCAGTGTGCATCCCACACAGGTGTTTGTAAGTAGGAAGGGAGGGCTCCAGAAAGCACGGGCGCTCGGCCCACTTGGAAAAGCAGCCTGTGGTGCAGCCCTATCTTTAGGAGGCCTTGGCTGCTCAGCTGGCAAAAGTAGCCGCTGGCAGCCTATGGATGAACTCCAGTGAACTTTCCTTATTACCATGCTAAAGTCTCCACCCCGTAACACGTGACCTGTCTGGAGACGTACTAAAAACACAAACCTAAGGGAAACCACCACCCCCTACGTGCATTGATACTTTTTCACTCTCTACTGCCCCATAGAAACCCCATGCCACTTTCCCTTGGAGACCCTGCTTTGGAGAATATTCCCCAGGGCTCTCCTCACTTGCTGCATGCAAGTGGGTAAAACTACTACTCAAGACTCGCGTGTTCTCGTGGAGCGTTGTCACTCACCAGGCGAAAAAAACCCCAATCTTTCCAGGAACATCTTGAGCATGTGTTATGTGCTGGGGGTTGAGGTGAGACTGACAGGACCCCTGCTGTCATGGAACATGCAGTCTCTTAAGATCAGCAAGAGCCCACGGAGAAACAGTCGAACACAGACTTCCCAGAGGTAGACGTTGGCATTTTTGAGAGACAGCAGCCAGGGAGCCCAGGTTTTACCAGATTACTAGTGCAGTACTTGGATATGAAGGTGTCTGAAAGGAGGTGAGGTACGGTTTTAACCTGTGGTCCACAGGCCTTTTAGTTCTCATGGAAGCTCCCAGGCTTTTTGCTCTTGTAATCCTCAGGGGAAAATATTGCCCTCCCTTGAAGATAACACACTCTGTACTTGTTCTTCTTCCCGTTGTCATGCTGTCCGCCGACTTGTCAATGGATAACACTTGGGGTACTATATTCCTCTCTTCTTCAGATCCTGCCCCACCTTAACCTCAAAAAATCTTGAATGTGTCCTTAGGCATCTCGGCCAGTTTCCCTACCATGGACCTTGTCATCACTCACAGTTGAACCAGTTCCAAACCTTAAGCACCAACAACCTTCTGTCTTATCCACTCTTTCCCCAGGAACCAGCACCCCACTGAGATATCTTACTGTTTCCTTCACAGTCAAGTTTCTTGAAAATAGTCTTCATTCTCATTGCCTCACCTCCTGCTTGCTCTTCACAAAAGCTTAGTATGGTTATGTTTCCTGCCATTCTACTGAAAACTTCTCACGAAGTTGCCAGTGAACTAATTGCCAAGTAGGTGCTTCAGTTCTCATCGTACCTAAAGACTGCCAACAATGTCATGCTTAATGACCTTGTCCCACATTTCTTTCCTTGGCCCTCTGGTTATCTCTAGGCTATGATCTGTGTGAGCTCCATGGGTTCACCTACCATGTCACCAACTCCAAAAACTACTTCCAGCCCAGTTCTCTTTTGAGCCATCATGGAGTTTATCCAAGTGCCCCTGGTTGTTGCCACTCAGGAATCCCACAGGTTCTTCAAACTCAAGTTGAAACCTGAACTTAGCTCTCCTGCAAAACCTGCACCTCCTTTCGTGTTCTAGATCCTTCAGAACAACATGACCATCCTCAGTCACTCCAGCCAGAAACCTGATATTCCATGGAGACCCCCTCCCTGGACATCTCCTTCCACCCCACCACGCAATCAGTGTCCAGGAACTGAATTCTTACCTTCTAATAGGTTGAATGGATGAGTGAATGAATTTTCACCTTATACCTTTTCTCCCTGCTGCTGCATTCTTAATTCAGTCTCTTGTCTCTCACCTGGAGAATGGCAGTGGTCATTAAGAAAATGCCTGAGTTTCAGTTCTTTCAAAAGCCCAACATTGCAGATTCAGAAAGTTACGGTAGGCCCAACACTCCCATGGGTCAACTCAGAACTTAACTAGCTTTGCCTCTAAGTCCCCTTCCCCATCCTGTTCCACCCTTGCTAGGTTTGGTTTGCTGCATTGCCAGCCTGCTCCTCTACTCTGCTTGCCTTCAACCTTGGCTCAGATAGCACCACCTGTGTGAAGCCTTTCCTGGTCAACGCTTTTTTTAATGCAGTTTCTAAGTTTCATTTCCCTGGTGGTGTATTTCAGATGTTTATTCATTCCACGATTATTTATTGGACGCCTCTGCCAGGCATTATTCTAGCTGCTGGAGATAAACAATGTTTCATCTCAAGCTTATATGGTAATGTGGGGGGCAGACAATAAATATATAATATGGCAGGTGGTTTTTATGTGCCAAGCAGAAAATTAAATCAGGTCACGGGCACAGGGACTGATGGTGTGGCAGCAGGGTGCAGTTGAAGTTGATCAGGGATGGCCTACCAGGGCTGAGAGAGATTTTTTGAGGTTAAGGTGGGTCTGGATCTGAAGAAGACAGGATTATAGTACCCCAAGTGTCATTTGAGCAGAGAATCAAATGACATGAGGGAATGAGCCAAGGAGCTGTCTTGGGAAAGAGTATTCTGGGTCAATAGCAAGTACAGAGGCCTAGAGGAAGGACTGTGTTGGGCCTGTTCCAGGGACGGTGAGGCTGGAGTGGGATTCCTATAGTCTTTAAAAAAAAATACTTCTTGTTTTTTCTCTCTTTCAATAATAACAGCCATAACATTTGTGGAGCATTTGCCAGGTGCTAGGGGACTGTATGTAAAGTGCACCATGTACATGATCTTATCTGTTCTTCAAATGTTATAATAATCCTTTATGGTAGGTATTACTGTTCTTCATTTCCCAGATGAGGAAACTGAGGCTCCAATATGTTAGGTGGCCTTTTATCTAACTAGATTTGTATTAGAAAAGCAATATACATTCCCAGAAAAAGTAAAAAATTACAGAAGGCAGGCAGTGAAAAGGACAAATCTTCCTTCCCTCCTATTCCCTGCCTTCCTGTCTCGCCAAGAGCTTCCACGATGAACAGTTTCTTAGGTGTGCTTTTGGATGCTTTCTATGCATTTGCAAGCATATGTATCTAGGATACATGCCTTTTTCTTTTTCACACAAACGGGACCGTTTTGTACACGCCATTCTTCCACTTTGTAAACCTAACAATAGAACCATTTATTCAACAGTATAGACTGAGCACCTGCTATGTGCTGGACTGTCCTGGGCACTGGGGACCCTGTGGTGAGGAAGATGAAGCCCCTCACTCACGGAACTTACCCGGCCCACCTTCCGCGCCGGCACATGCAGACCCTCCTCATTCACTTTAACCCTGGGCTGTCCCAGTGCATGGGTGTCCCCCACCCACCATGCAGAAGGGGATTTCTGAGGTTTTGCCAAGATCAGTACTCAGCAAACACCCTTGTGTACTTTGCAACTATGCACGTACATTTCTAGAATTAGAATGGCTGTGCAAATGGTACGTCATTGAGCAATTTGTATGTATTGTCAGATCACTGACCAAAATTAAAATTGCATCACTTTGTACCTCTGCCTTGAGTGTATGAGGGTGGCAGCTTTCTATATCCCTGCAAGCTAGCTGCAGGTATTCCTGCTTTACTGATTTAGTATTATTAAAACTTTTTTTTTAAGTAGGGAAGGACATTGAATGTTGGGATTCCTTTTGAAATCTTTTAAGATAATTACATGTTGCCTTATTTTTGTCCTTTGGCCTATCAATTTGGGGTATTTTGTGATTGAATTCACCAACACTGAGCTGCCCTGTTTGCATTTTCATAATGAACCCCCATGGTCAAGGTGGGCCAAAGTCCAGCTGAAGTTGGTTTGTGTAGGATTTTTTAAAAAATAGACTTCTTTAGAGCAGGTTTAGGTTCACAGCAAAATTGAGCAGAAATTTCTCATCTATTCCTGCCCTCTGACATGCACAGCCTCCCCCATTGTCAGTATCCCACAGCGGAGGGTACATTTTTCACACCTGATGAACCCACCCACATTGACACATCATCACCCCGAGCCCATAGCTTGCGTTAGGGTTCACTCTTGATGTGCATCCCGTGGGCTTGGACAAATGAATAAGGACATATCCTCCACTCTGGTGTCACACACAGTATCTTCACTGTCCTAGAAGTCCTCCGTGCTCCACCTACTCATCCCTCCCTCTCCCCAACTCCCGGCAACCCTGATCTTTTCACCATCTCCATAGTTTAGCCTCTTCCAGAATGTCGTGTACCATTCTTGCATCAGGATTTCTCGGGGATGTTCTGTGGTTTTGTGTGCTGTCTTTGGTCTTGTGTCCGTGTCTTGCTGCCCTTGTGAGAAGCTTGCGAGCCTTGCTCTTCTTCCTCTGTGCTCGGCACACTTTAGCGTGGGGACGGCCTAGGCCTTCGAGTATGAGCAAGTCCTCTGTGAAGTCGTCGGCTCCTGGCCCCCTAGGCCACATGGGGACAGATGGGGGGGAGGCACTTTTTGGTTTTTTTCCCTGGATCCTTGAATAGGCAATTTCTGTCTCTTCTCTCTTCCTGCCTCTTTTGTTTTCTCTCTCCTGCTTTCTCCTCCTCTCCCTCCCTCTTTATCTCTTCAGCCTATGTCTCTGTGTGAGTAAGGGCAGTTGCAGCAGTACCTCCTTTGTTTGAGAAGTCAGTGCTGCAGGTAAAGCCCCTGTCACAGTCGTCTTGGGTAGAATTTCCTTTCTTTTGGTTCCCACCTGGCTCTCCTTCCTCATCCCCACCCATTCTTGTGTCCTCTCCCTTCCTCATCTGCCTGGCCCTGTCTCTTTCCTTTCCCCTCTTCCTCTTTTCTCTCTGCCTCTGTCTCCTTTCTACTCTCTTCCCTCTTGTTGTCTCTTCCTCCGCCCCCAGTCCCCTTCTGTTCTGCCTTTCCCGCTTTGTCCTTTCCTAGCCTTCCTGTGCCTTCCTGCGCCTCCAGCAGTGGGTGCTGAGGGCGGCAGTCCAGTGTCTGCCTCTGCCGGGCAAGTGACTCCCTCCTCCTCCTTCCCTCCCGCAGGGCGTGGTCTGCTCACTCACTGGGCTACCAGATTCACCCTGGAAAGAGATGAAAGATATCTGCAGGGGACAACCAGGGAAGTGTGCCCAGCGCTTGTCAAGGTGAGTGTGTGGGGAGTCAGGCCACCCACGTGGAGGAGTCCCCTGAGAATGGGGTGCGGGGCATAGGCCGCTCCTTCCTCCATTCCTTCCTTCCTTCCTTCCTTCCAGTGCTCACAGACAGCCCCTGCCCGTCCTAACTCTGGCGGCTGGAAAGGGCCCACCCAGTCCACATAGCGGAGGACCAGAGCCTGGCAGGGCTCTGTAATGGGACTTCAGGCTTCGTTAAAGGACCACAGAGTTGTTTAGGGATGCTGGGACAAAGTCAGGAGGGGGAAGTACCATTTTCCATATGAATTGGCACCGGTAGTGGAATGTACTATCTATAGGGCAGACCAGGAGCGCAGACTCTAAGGATGTGGTGGGAACCCCAGACCCTGAGACTCTCAGTGGAGCCTGGTTGCTGGCTACCTCTTCATTCAGAACCCCCCCAGGTTACAGGCACCGGGCTCTTGCTTTTTGTCCTCTGGATTTGCCTTGGCTTAAGATCCAGTTGGCAGCAAGGCTCCGAGTCCCTGGACTTCTGGAGGCTCAGCAGTCCCTATGTGCTTTATGAGTGCAGAAAGCATGTGGGACGCCTCCACTGGGCCCTGAACAGGTTCTGTGGCGTGGACAGGGTGCAAGTAAGAGGTGGGATGGTGCATGCCCTGCTTTAGGGAGGCTGGGAACAGATCCCTGGAGGCAGCCTGTGCCCTGTTACCAGGAAGAGTTTCAGCAGGAAGGTTCACCAACTCCTAGGGGAGCAAGGCCTCTGCCTTAAGGAGAATGTAATTTCAGAGGGGCAGACATTTCCTAATCATCAATGTATAAGAAACAAGTCTGACTGGGTGCAGTGGCTCACGCCTATAATTCTAGCACTTTGGGAGGCTGAGGCAGGAGGATCACTTGAGCCCAGGAGTTCAGGACCAGCCTGGGCAACATAGTGAGACCCCATCTCTATACAAAATTTAAAAATTAGCCAGGCATGGTAACATGCACCTATATTCCCAGCTACTTAGGAGGCTGAGGTGGGAGGATGGCTTGAGCCCAGGAGTTTGAGGCTACAGTGAACTATGGTCCCGCCATTGTACTCTAGCCTAGGCAACAGCAATACCCCATCTCAAAAAAAAGATAAAAAGAAACAAGGCTGTGAGAGAACAACAATCATTAGGGCGCAGGGGTTGAGAAAAAGTTGAGATGACCTCAGATACTCAGGCTTCCAAAGGCAGGTGGAAGAAGGTGGCATGTGAGCCCTGCAGGACAGGTGGAGGTTGGAGGATGATAGAGGACGAGGCTTGCTTTTCAGACCCCAGAGGTCACCATGCTCCCAATTTTGATGTGGGACTTTCCAAAGGACAGGGCGGGAGTAAGGCACAGAGGCCTTCTCCTTGGCGGGACTCGGCTATCTGTGTGGGGCCTGCCCTGGGGATGTGCTGCCTTCTGCGGCTTCACCCCGCTTCCCTTCTCGCCCCTTCCTCCCGGTGGACACAGAGCCTGCGCACACTGGATCTCGCTCCTGGGCGGCTAGAACTGGAAAGCATGTCTGACTCCACGTGGTCCAGCCACGCTCCCCGCACTGCCTGCGTTCGAGAGCTGGGGGGTCCGGGGACCAGAGCCAGAGCAGGGACGAGGGCTGTTCCCGGTGCACCCCACGAGGGCACGGCCCACCCAGGCCAGCAGGACCTCACAACCCTGTCGAAGAAAAAGAACCAAAACAGATAACAGGAAAGTTATTTATTGCTGTGCAACAAATTGCCCCACAGTTTAGCAGCTTGAAACAAACATTGTTCCCACAGCTCCTGTGGGCCAGGAGACCAGGCCCAGCTCAGCTGGTGCCTCTGCCCAAGGTCTCTCCCGAGGCTGCCGTCAGGGTGGCCGCCAGGCCTGGTCTCAGGTGGAGGGCGGGCGAGGGCGGGCCGCTGCCCAGCCGCCGGCAGAGGCTGTGGGCAGGATTCAGTTCCTCACAGGCTGTCAGACTGAGGGCCTCCTCGTTCTTTTCTGCTTTTTGGCTGGAGGCCTCACTCACTTCTTGGCAATATGGGCATGTCCAGAAGGCAGTGCACAGCATGGCAGGCGGCTCCGTCCTGCAAGACGGAAGGCCACCTCTTGTGACCTACTTTAGAAGTGACACAGAAGTGACATCCCGTCACGTTTGCTGTATTCTTTTGGTGTGGGTTCAGCCCGAGTTCCGGGGAGGGGATTACACAGGGTGTACATAGCAGGAACTGGGGTGTCAGGGCCGTCTCCAGCTGCCTACCCAGATGTTCCACGCGCCTCCTGTGTCTGTGCTCTCACCCTGGTCCTCGGGCTCCGGGGGAGGGTCTCACTGGAGCGTGCAGCACTCGCTCAGTACGTTGTCACTCTGTCTCACTGCTGACTTAGCAGCCGAAACCTGCATTGCTTCCTCATGAGATGGGTGTGTCCGGAGAGTCAAGCCGCAAATGCAAGGATGCACTTGTTCGGAAAGCCTCCCTCCACATCCCGCCCTCTTTGAACCTTTCCAGGGCATCTCGTTATTTTTAATTCCCATTTCCTGAGTGACATAGAGCATCTCTTCTGAAGCTCACGGCTTATTAGTATTTTTCTCAGAGCTGGATCAGGCCCGGATCTATCTATACTTCCCGAGGTCCCTGCTGGTGTAGTCCCGGGAGTGGAGGATCATTAGGGAAATTCCGGAAGCCGGCGCGGGGGAAGAGCTCTGCCCTGGCGCCCTTGCGGTATCCACATAGGCCATGCAGACAAGGCTGGGCCACAGCTGACTCTCGGTCTCAGCGCAGTGCCTCGCCGGCCTCCCAGCAGGCCGGCCCCGCTTGCTGTGAGGCCCGAGGCTTCCTGCCCCACCACCTGGGGCACAGGCTAGAAAAGAGCTTGGCTCCAGCGTGGCAGCATCTCCTCGAAGCAGGGTGTCCTGGCATCCTCGTGTCACTCATCTGGTCACTGTTTCCTGCATCACCCTGCACAAGGTCCATGGGAAGCTGGCACCTCTGGCTACTCCTCCTTTTGTTGTCTGTGCAAATAATAAACTGAATCTGAAAAGGGCTCATATTTCTTTACCAGCAAATCTGTCAGCCTTGGCCTTGCCCTGTGCTTGACAGAGTGGAAGGAAAACTAGGGGAGATCCAAGGCCGGGGGGAGAAAGGGCCCAGGCCCCACCCCGTTTGGGGACCAAACTTATCTCCCCTTGCCCAGTGACATTCTGCTTTCTGCCCCTGCTTCCCTCCAACACTTGATCCATCCCTCTTAAGCTTCAGTCCCCAACCCCACCCCCCGCCGTGGCCCAGGACTGGTCCGTGGCCTGTTAGGAAACAGGCTGCGTTATCACCGCCTGAGCTGCATGCCACCTCCCTGCAACCCACGACCCCCACCCTCCGTCCATGGAAAAATTGTCTTCCAGGAAATCAGTCCCTGGTGCCAAAAAGGTTGGGGACCGCTGCCCTTAGGGCCTGGCCACTTCTCTTTTTGGATGTTTTAACCAGATCTACTCCACTGAATCACCTAGCGAGACTCTGAAGGTTAGAGGGGGCTCCTGCGGGACCCTCCCAGCTCTCAGACGGACCAGCATTTGGGGCAAAGGGCTAGAGGGCTAGAGCTGCCGTCTCCACCTTCCCAACACTTCACTGTGGACACTTGCAGGTCACAGCAAAGTTGAATGAATTTCACTTTGCACATCGGTATAGCCGCCACCTGACTGTGCCACTCATATTCTACTTGCTTTATCACCTCTAACCAAGCCTCCATTAGCCCGTTTTATTTCTGATTCCTTTCAAAGGCAATTACAGACTTCCAACTGCCTTCCCCTAACTACTTGAGCATGCTCATCAAGTAGAGTTGATTATTCACAGTCCTCTTTTCATTTGATGTAAAACTTAACATCAAATGAAATGAATGCTCATAAGTGAACATTTGCTGAATTTTGACAAGTGTATACACCTTTGCATCTCAAACCCTTCTCAGGGTCCTGAGCATCACCTCACTTCAGAAGATTTCCTCAGACTCCCTCCTGGTCCCCACTCCACGTAGGGGACCAAGACTGGAGCCTGAATAAAATATTTTTTAATATTTTTTATACTATAAATTTATTTTTTTTTCTTTCAATTTTTTTTTTATGCCGCCCGCTGTTTCTGAATATTTTTTTCTGGAATGTTAAAGTAGGTGAAAAACCATTGAAAAAATTGGAAAGTAGGTGTATTAAAACTCAAAATATTTTAAGTTTACATTTACATAAAAGACAATTTATAAATTTACTTACCTGGCTTTAATGGAAACAAACGCATCAATATTTCCAAAATCTGTTTTTAATATCTCATTTTCACTTGAGAGAATTGTCATGTGAATTTCTCTTGATCAAGTGATGATCTTAATTATTGACTTCAACTTATTGAAATTTCTTTTAGATATGCCACTGTGCCTGGTATTATTAAAAGACTTCTCAAAGCCATTTCTGAAGCTGATAAGATTGTACTAAGCAGGCAGGCACAGTGGCTCATGTCTGTAATCCTAGCACTCTGGGAGGCCTAGGCGGGAGGATCGTTTGAGGTCAGGAATCCAAGACCAGCCGGAGCAAAAGCGAGACACCATCTCTACTAAAAATAGGAAGAAAGTAGCTAGACAACTAAAAATATATAGAAAAAATTAGCCAGGCACAGTGGCACATGCTTGTAGTCCTAGCTACTCAGGAGGCTGAGGCAGGAGGATCACTTGAGCCCAGGAGTTTGAGGTTGCTGTGAGCTAGGCTGATGCCACGGCACTCTAACCCGGGCAACAGAGTGAGACTCTGACTCAAAAACAAAAAACAAAAAAACATTGCACTAAGCAAAATTTGTGAATCAATTTTCAAAGACCCATACAGAATGGAAATTTTTTATTACAAACTATTGATCGCATACTCCTTAAAACCATTTCAGGTGAAATTTCTATATGACTTAAATCATCAGAACATTTAAGAATCAAATAAGTGGCTGTTTTGTGTAAATCAGATGCATTCATAGAAAAATTCTCCAGTGAAAAATTCAAAGTGTAAAGACATTTTAATTTTTTATATCTCAATTTCAAATGTGAAATTAAGGCATCTGTAATCTTAATTTCTATTTGATATGCACTTTTCCCTTAATAATTGACACAGTCATCCAGTGATTCATTTCCAATTTCTATGCTTTTTAGTTTATTTTAAAATTCAGGTAGTGTTTTAATCTCCTTTCTTAAAATTTAACATTCATCAAATATACTTCGAAAGTGACTTTTGTTTGTTGTAAGCATAGGGACAGGCCTACTAAGCATTCAGCTTTATGTATGATGTTGTGTTTTTTTATAGCAGAGCTTTATTAACATTCCCACTTGGTTCAGAATATCATCCTACACAGAGAGAGTGATAAAAATCTGTAATCTATTCACAGCAAGATGTTTTTGATGTCAGCATAGTGTGTTTTTTCATTTGGTAAATAATTCAATATTTATAAATGTCTTTAATTTGTGAAGTACCTTGATTGCATTTGATGTCGATCCTCATGAGGTATGTTTACATGTTTTTAATGTAGTTTTGTTTTTGTTTGTTTTTTCCTTGAGACAGACTCTTGCTTCTGAGCACAACCCATGCTCCTGTGTCAGGTTCTTGAGTAGCTAGGATTATTTAAATTCTAAAATCCTTCTGACTAATGTAGTTTTTAAAACAGACATAAGAATATTCCATCTGCTCATTGACTTCATACACACACACAAATACACAATGCTAAAAAAAGTTATTCAATTTGATTTCACAGCTGGGTGTAGTAGCTCATGCCTGTAATCACAGCACTTTGCGAGGCCAAGACAGGAGGGTCACTTAACACCAGGAGTTCTAGACTAGCGTGAGCAACTTAGTGAGATTGTGTCAGAAAATAGAAAAGTTAGCCAGTTGCATCACACAACTGTACTTCTAGCTACTTGGGAGGCTGGAGCAAGAAGATTGCCAGAGCCCAGGAGTTTGAGGTTCCACTGAGCCACCATCACACCACTGCACTCCAGCCTGGCCAACATAGCAAGACCCTGTCTCAAACAATTTTTTTATTCCATGTCAGCATTTTTGCATATTAAGATTATGAGCTGAGAAAGACAAGTTCAGCATAATCATTTTATCGGAGAAATAGTGGCTTATTTCCAATTTTGCATTTTATTGGGGAAATAGTGGCAGCCTTGCATAACTTGCCATATTTGCTCCATTATATCCTTGGCCACAAACATTTTTTATGTTAGTATCTTTTTCCATCCTCTAATTTCATAAACTAGACCTTTCAGTTTTTCCTTTCATTTCAATAAAGTCATTACAACATTTTCTTTCTCTCTCTTTCTTTTTTTCCCCTTGAGATGGCATCTGGCTGTGTCATCCAGGCTAGAGTACAGTGGTGTCATCATAGCTCACTGCAACCTCATATTCCTGGGCTCAGGCGATCCTCCCACCTCAGCCTGTGGAGTAGCTGGAACTACTTGCCTGGCTTAATTTTTTAAACTTTTTATAGACATAGTGTCTTGCTATGTTGCTCAGGCTGGTCTCAAGTGTATTCAAGTGATTCTCCGGCCTTGGCCTCCCAAAGTGCTGGGATTACAGGCATGAGCCACTGCACCTGGCCTTAATACAACTTTTTAAAATTTTAGTTACCAAACTACAAAGTGGAAACGACTTTTATTAGGAGTTTCTTAATGTGAGCATGCCTCATAGTCTGGCACGCCTGCTCACAATGGGCATCTGGTATACAATCAAAAAGTATTTGCTGCTTTTATTCTTGATAGTATTTCAAATCTAACATGATTTTCTAGTAGCATTATACATTTCTTTTTAATTTTATTGTACAAATAAGGCATTCTTTTTATTATTAGCTATAAATTCACCTAAAGTTAAAAACATGCCATGATTTGGACTTCTAGTAATTTCTTGCAATTCTCTAAGATGTAAAATATTTTTTTGCTTAAAGATCTAAAAATCACTCCAATTATCTGTTGCTGTTTCTTTGATTTTATCGTATTCTGCAAAGCATCATTTATTAAACTGTCAGTTTGAATATTTTATTTCTTTTTTATTATTATATTTTAGAGACAGGGTCTCGCTCTGTCACCCAGGCTGAAGTGCAGTGGTGTGATCGCGGCTCACTGCTGCCTCCAACTGCTGGACTTCAACCATCCTCTTGCCTCAGGCTCCTGAGTAGCTGGGACTACAGGCATGCGCCACCACGCCCAGCTAATTTCTAAAAATTTTTTGTAGAGACAGGGTCTCCGCTGTGTTGCCCAGACTGGTCTCCAGCTCCTGGCCTCAAGCAATCCTCTTGCCTCAGCCTCCTAAAGTGCCCAGATTACAGGCATGAGCCACTGCACCGGCCTTAATATTTTTTTAAGGACACTTCCATTTTAGAAAAGCATCACAATAAAACATAAAAGTTTCCTGATCAAAAATTCTGTTTAGGCCAGGTACAGTGGCTCTCATGCCTGTAATTTCAGTAATTTGGGAGGCTGAGGTGGGAAGATCACTTGAGGCCAGGATTTGGAGACCAGCCTGGGCAATACAGTGAGACCCCCATCTCTACAAAATAGTAAATAAATAAAATAAAATAAAATAAAATTAGCCTGTAATCCTAGCACTCTGGGAGGCTGAGGTGTGAGGATCAGTCGAGGCCAGGAGTATGAGAACAACCTGAGCAAGAGCAAGACCCTGTCTCTACTAAAAAGTAGAAAAATTAATTGGGAATGGTGGTGAGCGCCTGTAGTCCCAGCTACTCAGGAAGCTGAGGCAGGAGGATCCCTTGAGCCCAGAAGTTTGAGATTGCAGTGAGCTATGATGAGGCCACTGTACTCTAGCCCAGGCAAAAGAGTGATGCTCTCTCTCAAAACATTAGCTAAGCATAGTGGCGCACACCTATCGTCCTAGCTATTCAGATGGCTGAGGTGGGAAGATCACTTGAGCCAGGAGTTCGAAGTTGCAGTGAGCTATGATCATGCCACTGCATGCCAACCTGGGTGACAGAGTGAGACCCTGTCTCTAAAAAAACAAACCAACCAAAAAAAAATTCTGTTTAAAGTTTTCTAATTTTTGAAACCTTTTCTGAGTTGCAAAAATTTGATTTTGTTGTATTACTACAGAAAATTATGCATGAAAAATAAAGCCAAACTTTTGGAATAAATAAGCTAGTCACAATGAATTCACTTGCCATTAGAACATTAAAAAGTCCTTAGAAAATCTTTGACCATCTTGTGAAATAGATTCCCTAAAATCTACATCTTGTCCTTTTTTAGATTTGTGTTCTATTAAACTCATTCTCTTCTTATCACAAAGAAGCAGCCACAATGGATAATTATTAAAACTTATTTCAAATAGCATCTTCATACTTTTTGCTCACACATATGGTCACTAGTTTCTGAAACTTCTAACATTTCTCTTCATTTTCTTGAAAAAGATTCATTAGTTAACTCTGATGATGGTTCGGTTCTGATAACATCAGTGTTGAAGGACTCAGTCATTTTCAATAGCTGGAATACTGTTTTTTCTAGCCAAACTTATAACTGTCCCCTATAATTTTGATCCATTTCTGCGTGTATTTTCCTTCTTTGCCTGAACATTGCACCACTTGTCTTTTTAGATGCCATATTTGTCTAAAAACTTTTAGTATGAATTTAAAATATATTTATTTTTAATATTCCAAATGTAGATATTGATTTACATTAACTTAATCTAAATTATAATATTTAATAAGTAGGTGTATATAAAATTTTGTATCAAAAATACAGAAATCAGCTGTTGGTGGGACTGTGTTTAATAAAATGGTAGTCTTGTGGAAGAAAATTTCATGGTTCCTCAAAAAGCCACATAGAGTCACCATGTGGCCCAGCAATTCCGCTCTTTGGTATGTGCCCTAAAGAATAGAAGACAGGGTCTCAAACAGCCACTGAGAGACAATATTCATAGCAACATTGTTCACAATGGCCAAAGGTGTCAAAAACACTTGTGTCCATCAACAGATGAATGTTTCATCAAATTGTGGCATACCTATATTAGATACAATGGAATATTATTCAGCCATAAAAAGGAATGAAGTTTTGATACATGCTATAAGATGGATGAGTCTTGGAAGCATTATGCTGGGTGAAATAGATCAAACAAAAATAAATGGTTCCACTTTACATAAAGTACCTAGAACAGGCAAGTTCATAGAGACGAAGTAGAATAGAGGTTAGGGACTGGGGAGATGGAGAGATGGGGAGATATTAATGAGTACACAGTTTCTGTTTAGGATGATGGAAACGTTTTGGAAATTGATAGTGGCACTGGGTGCACAATATTGTGAAGGTACTTAGTGCCACTGAATTGTACACTTAAAACTCCTCTCTCAGTTTAAAACAACCACTTTACTTTGCTCATCTTTTGTGGATCAGGAATTCCAGAAGGGCTTGGCTTGACAGTTCTTGCCTGAGATCCTTCATGTGATTGTAGTTGGCACTTTCAACATTTTCCCTGGAAATCTCCTTAGCCAGATTCATCAGTTCATTGGATACATATTCTATTTCCCATATCACCGCAGACAATGGTTTTACTAAACTTTCCACACTACAGAACAATAATATTCTTTTCTCCATCTTCTAATAACATTTCCCCTCCCTCTTCTTTAAGCTCTCAGCAGCCTCAGAGCCCACCAGGGTTCCACCAACATTCTTCCCAGGCCCTTCCGGTGTTTGCCCGCTGCCCAGTCCCCAAAACAATACTGTATGTTTTGGGGTTTTGATGGATCAGTCCCCGCTCTGGGCACCACATTTCTCTTCCAGTTACTACTGTTGTGTAACAAATTGCCTCCAAATTTAGCAGCTTAAAAAAGTAAAAACTTAGGAGGATCGCTTGAACTCAGGAGTCCAGCCGGAGCAAGAGCGAGACTCCATCTCTACAAGGAAACAGAAACATGAGCCAGGCATGGTGGTGCGCGCCTGTGGTCCCAGCTACTTGCCCAGTCAGCCTCCACTTCTGGCTCTCAGGTCCTTGCCGTGTGGCCCTCTCCACACCACAGCCCACAACATGGCAACTTACTTCTTCACACTCTCTTAAGAGTCTGCTAGTAGGGTAGGTGTCACAACCCTGTGTTGAAGAATCATATATACTTCATCACATACATCCTATCACTTTTGCTGGATTCTATTGGCCAGAGCAAGACACAAGTCCTGCCCACACTCAAAGGAAGGGGTCCACACAAGAGCTGAATGCTCAGAGACAGGAACCCTAGGCCACATTAGGGTCACATTAGGGTCTGTCTTCACAGGAGGGGTCTGGAATAGGAAGAGGGGGAGGTGTCAGCTCTGGAAGGGGAGCAGATTGAAGGGGAGAGGGTGGGGAGGAAGGAAAATTAATTCATTTGGGGACCATGTTGAGTTTGAGGTACTTTTGAGCCATCCAAGAGGTATCACATGGTTACTTGTTTGAGCCTGTAGATCTGGAGATGATAGGAAATGTAATTAACACACCACTACAGATGGGTGGTGATTCAAGCCAAATGTGGATGAGATTACCAAGAAAGGGGTATGGAATGAGGGGAGGACTCAGGATCAAGTCCTAAGGAATTTTATCAATTATTAGCCAGGCAGAAGAAGTTGAGCCTTCGAAGGGGACAGACCTGGAGCAGCCAGAGAACAGGAGTAAAGCCAAGAAAGTCATGTGTCCCACAAACCAACTGGAAAGAGAGGCCAGCAATATTCAAAATTGCTGGGATTCATGTGAGATGATGACTAAAAAAGTCAGTTTGGTTTAGCAAGAGTGGGAAGTCACTGGTGAGCTTGGCAAGAGCAGTTTTGGAGGAATTATGGGGTGAAGCTAGGTGGGGGTGTGGTGAGAAGTGGGTGAGAGGTGAGGGACTGGAGATGTTGGTGAGTGTTGTCACCTCAGGGTATTTCTGTTGCAAGGGAGGAGACAGCAGTGGAGGTTTCAAACAGTGGCACGTGAGCAGCTAAGCAGAAGAGAAACATGAAGGCTTGCTGGACCTGCCGGTGTCCTATAGCTGGACAGCACCAGAACCACATCTGCAGTTGACTGAATCGGGGTTACTAACTCAGTGCATCGAGGGAGACCACTGTAACATGGGCAACCTGGGCAAGGAGATGTTGGAAAGGACTTGTAAGACTTGGGTTTGTGTTAGTTGGCTCGGGGGAATGTTTATGGAAATGGGGCTTGTTAGGTCTGGAGCTGAGAGGGAAATACACAAAGCCTCAGGTGTAGCAAAATGCTGTTTATTTGAGGATCTGGGTGCAGATAGGTGGAGGCCTTGCACACCAGGAAGGGGAGAGTGGTGGGTTTTGTAGGAGGTTTGGATGGAAGTCTGGGAAGGGCGAATTTTTTCCTGAACCGGTTCCTGCTGCTGTTAACCATCTGTCGTCATAGCTGGATTTACAACCTCCAGACGCCTGCTGCTATTGTTTCACGGGCCTTATGATCACTGTCCAAGTTTTCCATTAACCCGCATTCCATCCTACATATACTTTCCGGCTTTCCACCCAGAGCAAACCTAACAGGGCTTTGCTCTGGACTGGACGATGTCAGGAAGAGGAGGTAACGCCATGATCTCCACAAAGCTTATCTAGAGGGCAGGAAAACTAGAAAAGGCTGCACCTGTCACTGGTGAAGCAGCAGCAATCACTCTTATTAGCAGAAGTAGCGCGTGTTCGGTTATTTTTGCGGCTTGCACAATGCTCAGATTTTGTCTGTACTCAGACCTGGTTACAGAGTGGTCTCTTTTTTTCCTCTTGACGTGTATCATGGCCTGATGTTGGTGTTTTATGAAGTTGTTTATGCTCAACAAGAGAACACCAAGGCCCAGCTGTGTGCTGGGCCCCCTCCGAGTCCCGCTGCGGCCTGGCGCCCGGGCCAGCCCCGCCGTCGGTGCGGCTGCTTTCTCTCTGCCGGGCGGGACCGGCGAGGCCGAGCCCCTCTCCCCGCTCCCCCGGGAGCCGGCGGCGAGCACGCGTCGAGGAACGCCGCCTCTCCTCCCGCATCTTCTGAAGCTCCCGTCCTGGCGCACAGGGCCGCTCCCTCCGAGCCTCGGCTTCTCAGTCTCTATGGCGGGCCTGGACCCGGGGCGTGCGTGGCCGGCGGGACGAGGGAGGGCCAGACCCGGGCGACGCCAAAAGCCCCGCCGAGCCTTCCAGACGTGAGGGGCGGCCCTCGGGCCCACACGTTTCTCTCTCGACAGGCCTTCTTGGCCAAGAACTCAACAAAACTGGACAGAAACGAGACGTCCCCGCCAGGGGAAGGCAGGAGGGCCCCGGGTCGCGCCAACGCGGGAAGCGCCGCAGTGCGCGGCCTGCGCCGCCTGCCCCGCGCGAGCTCGCGGCCCGGGCGCGGGAGACGCCCAGCGCGCGTGCGCACCGCGCCCCGCCCCGCTCGCGCGCGGCACTCTGGGGCGCCCGGCCGCGCCGCGCGCCGATTGGCGGCTCCCGGGCGCCCGGGTGGACTGACGGCGCCCGGCCGCCCCCGCCGCCGCCGCCGCGCCGCCCGGGTGTGGAGCCCGGCCGCCGCTCGCGGGCTGCGCGTCTGCCGCCGCCGCCGCCGCCGCTGCCGCCCAGCCTCCGCCATGGACCTGTTCGGGGACCTGCCGGAGCCGAGCGCTCGCCGCGCCCGGCTGCCGGTAAGCAGCGTCGCCGCCCGGCCGGCGAGGGGAAGAGGGCGGGCGGGTGGCGGGCTGAGGCCGCGGCGGCTGAGGCGGCGCCGCGCGGGGAGCGGGCTGCACGGCGCTGGCCCGTGGCGGGCCCGGCCGCCCGCCGCCCGCCCCGCGGCCGGACACTCGCGGCGCTGCGAGACGCGCTCCGCCATTTTCGCGACGCAGGCAGGGGGGCCGGCCCGGGCTCCGCGCGCCTCTGCGTGGCGCCGGGGGCGCGTCGCGTCGCGTGGGCGCCCGCGGGGAGGCGCGCCAGGCCCGGTCCCCCGCGGCCCGCCGTCCCTGCGGGAGCCCGGCCCGCGCCGCGGCCTGCGGGCCTCGGACAGCCGCGTTCCGGGCGAGCTGCACGGCCGGGGGCTTGCGGGGTTCTCGTTTGCACCAGACGTTGAGTTGCTGACTTAACCCTTCGTGTTGTTGGGGCCCGGGAGACGGGATGACACTGTGATTTTGTGATTAGTAGTTGGCCGGGCGCGGTGGCGCACACCTGTAATCCTAGCGCTCCGGGAGGCCGAGGCGGGCGGAGCGCCCGAGCCCGGGAGTCTGGGGTTGCTGTGAGCTAGGCCGACGCCACGGCACTCTAGCCCGGGCAACAGAGAGAGACTCTGTCTCAAACAAACAAAAAAAAATAGTAGTTTTTTGTTCTTTCCTGGATCACAAGAAGTCCCCCCTTCTCCGAAAGTTAGGAGTGCCGGCCTGGGTCCCTGCCCCTGCCAGTGTGCAGGTTCCCGTACCTGCGGCTTGAGCCCAGCATTGGCAGTGGGAAACGAGGCCTTTCGAGTTGCAGCTGGCGGAGCTGAGTTCGGAAAAACAGCAGCGCGCTGGGGCTACCCTGTGTCCGATGCATTATAGTCACTCCAGGTTTGGTTTGGCCAAACGTGTGGATGTGCTCGCAACGCAAGACGTTTAGCTAGATGTTGCAGTTTATTAGGTCCTTATTTCCGAACCTAACTTGGTGGGCAGATAAACCTGGAAAACTTTAAAAACAAGTTCACATTTCCAGGCCCACCTCAGCCCCACTGAATCCGAGTCCTTGAGGGTGGAGTTTCCAGAGTCTGCTATTAAATCTCCTGTGATGGGATTTCGACTGGACAGTCCTGCGGGGCTCTGGAGAGGAACGGTTTGGGAACTACTGTTGTAGGGCATAGGAAGGTGACTAAGACCCGGTCTTTGCTTTCTAAGAGCTTAATTCTGAATGCAAGTGATTATACAGTAATTAAAACTGGCAAAAGCTAATGACTGTGGGAAATGGCCAGTGCCCTGAGGAGTAATATCTGTCCTCTTGACGGGAGATAGTGGACAAGGAGGCAGTGTTTGAATTGGGCTTCTAAAGATGGATAGACTTGTGGTTTGCACCAAATCTAGGCAAGAGAACAATGTGCTCAAAGAGGGAACACTTAGTTCTCCTGTTTTCCTGAGCAGAGCATGCCAGTGTGGAGGATTAATCAGTGTTTGGGGCCCTAATGAAGGGTCATTCTGCCCTCCACAGGACCAGGATTCTGCCTTTTCACCTGTGTACGACCAGTCTTTGTGGGACTGTTTTGAAGTTTTATCTTTTGCCCTTGTTCTCAGTAATGCGCACTTTTCCCCACTGACCATTCTGATGGTACAAAGCATCTAAACAACTGGTTAGATGGTTCATGAGTCTGTGAACTTGACTGAGCCATTCATTTTCAGGATAACCACAGTTCTAGTTGTGGGTAAAGACTGGCTTTGTGTAGGCAGTCTTTTTCTATGTCGGTGGAATATAACTTCTATCTGAATGTGTTTGGGTTCATTAATATGCCTATAAACCTATCATTTTTAAAATCCTCTTTACTTTTTATCCAAAATTAATTTGGTTCTGCTCAGGGGACGGCCCCCTGGACATGACATGAAATCTGACAACTTGAAATCTTACAGGTTGGCACCTTAGCAGCAGATACACTGGGGAGTGCATATCCTGCTTTTTTTTCCAAACTCAGCTTCCAGTCTTGGCTGAGCTGACAGGGCAGCAGAGGGGCTGCATGGCGTTTAAACCCCTGAATGTGGATGAGTAAACTGCTTCTTGTCTTCCTGAAGGATGGTGACACTGTCCACAGGCACTGCCTGGCTGAGTGCATTTTAAAAAATAGATTCAAAGCAAAGACATACTTTCAGAATTTGAAGATGACAGGAAGCTGAGAGATAAGTACTAAAGTGAGTGACAGCATTTGGGATCCAAAGTTATCATGACATGCTAAAAACAAAAAGATGAGATTTGATGGGTTAAAAAATCATTTGAACAAGAACAATCTGATTTCATATTCTTGTGAAAATATTGTGATATGAAAAAATTAATTTATATACCATATTTCCCAGTAAATTATATTGTTTGCTGAAGTGGATGGAAGAATGAAGCTAAACTGGATCATGACCTTCACACATGATATATGGCTTCCACAAATCTCTAAGCTAATGCAGTGAACAATAAAGGACCTAGTTACTGTCACAGTCCCCCAAAAGAGTTGTTTGGGAAATGTAACCAGACTGTTTGGTTTCAAATCCAGCTCTTCACTTACTCTGCCTTCTGTGGCTGTTCCTGCATCTGTAAAACAGGGGAATGCCTCTTACTGTTATTCTAGGGATTAAAGAGTGTACTACATGTAAAATTGAGCACATAGTGCTTTGTAGATATTAGCAATTATCATATGAGACATTAACTTTTAACAGTTGTTTAAAAGGGGGGAAAATGCAGTCTTAAATGGATTCTGTATAAGCACTGTGTGTCCAAAGGGAGAAGATACTGTACTGCTTGGATCACATCAAGTGTGTTTTGTTCAGTTCTTTTGCTTTATGTTTTCTTCTAAGCATTGCATCAGTGTTCCTACCCCAAAGCCTCTTATAGTTTTATAATCTTGAAAAAAGATATAGAAAGAATGCATTAAATGTTTCTAGGTATTGTGCTAAATTAGTAGTCTTCATCCAAGCTCTTAAGGGTTTTAATTGCTAAGTGAATAAGGGTTCTTAAAAGTGGTTCATGCCTGTAATCTCAGCACTCGTGAGAATCTGAGGCAGGAGGATTGTTTGAGGCCAGGAGTTCAAGACCAGCCTGGGCAACATAGACCCTGTCTCTTAAAAAAAAATTAACTACTTGGGGTGTTGTGCACCTGTAGTCCCAGCCACTCAGGAGGCTGAAGTAGGAGGGTCACTTGCACCCAAGAGTTCAAGGCTACAGTGAGCTATGATCAAGCCACTGTACTCCAGCCTGGGGAATACAGTAAGACCCTGTCTCCAAAAAAAAAAAAAAAAGTATATATAATGTGTGTGTGTGTGTGTGTGTGTGTGTATATACACATACACACATACATACACACACATCTTTTTTATTAACCTAAAAGAAGTATGTTCATATCAGACAGAAATGGAATTTTTCTATGCCATACCCATAAAAATGCTGATTTAATGTCTTTAAGATTAACAGCTTGTATTTGGCAATCCATATGAGTTAGTTAAAGGTGCTGTGGTTTAAAGTTGCTTCAGCAGTAACTTGGTTTCAGTTTATAGGGTGGTTCTTTCACATATTTGGTTGCTACACCAGTATATTTAAAACTGATGGTCAGCTGTCAAGGACTAAATAAATATTTGCTTGGCAGACCATCTTAAAAATATTTCTTTAAAAAATTGGAGAGCTAAACAAAATAAAAGTTTAGATATTGTAAGAAAACAGACTAATTGTAAAACTATGGGGTTAAGCAAGAAAAAACCCAAGTCTTAAAATTTGACTATGTAAAAATTTAAAATTTTTGCAGGACAAATGATACTACAAAGGCGAAAGACAAACTGAGAGAAGATAATTGTGATATACATTACTAAGGGTTAATATCCTTAATAAGTGAAAGACTTACAAAATTAATAAGAAAAAGACAGATAACCCATTAGAAAAATGGCCAAAGAGTGTATTCTAACAGTTTAGAGAAGGAATACAAATAGCCATCAACAGGAAATGATGCTCAGCTTTCCTTTTTCACCCATCATATTAGCAAATATTGCTAACATAATGATGAAGGTGTGGGAAAATAGACATTCTTATAAAACATGTCAGGATTGGAAGTTATTACAACTTTGGGGGAAAAATGTTGGCTTCTGTCAGATTTAAATCACTCATACACAAGTGGTCTGGCAGATTAAGGATATGTGTGTCAGGTTTTTTATTCTGGCGCCATTTTGTTATGTGAAGAACTGTAAACAGCTTGACCCCATCTCTACTGAAACTATACAAATGAGTTGCTTTTCATATAGAATTATGTGCAACTGTTGGAGAGAAGGAATTTAGACTCCTGGGTGTTGGCCTGGAGCATGCCCTGATGAATTATGTGAACAATATATGTGGAGTAATTGTGTAGAGTATGATTCTGCCTTCTAAAATTAAAATGAGCTGGGCATAGTGGCTCATACCTGTAATCCCAGCACTTCGGGAAAACAAGGCTGGAAGATTGCTTGAGGCCAAAGAGCTGGACATCAGACTGGGCAGTAGAGCAAGGCCCTGTCTCTACCAAAACAAAAAAATTAAAATGCACATATACATCTACATAAACATCGAGGAGAGTGGAGAGTTCACACTAAACTGTTACTGTGGTTGGGCAATGTGGTGGAGCTCCCTGCCTCCCTTGCCTTTTCTGATAAACCTCTGTAGTGTTTGGAAATAACCTGTATCACATTTGTAGTTGAAAAGAAAATTCTAGTATAAAAAATAATGTAGGCCCTGGCAGTGGTTCATACCTGTAATCCTACCACTTTGGGATATTGAGGCAGGAGGATCACTGGAGGCCAGGAGTTTGAGACCAGGCAGAGCAACGTATCAAGACTCTGTCTCTACAAAAAAAAACAGAAAAAGCCGAGGGTGGTGGTGCATGCCCGCAGTCCCAGCTACTTAGGAGGGTCACTTGAGCCCAGGAGTTTGAGGTTGGTGAGCTATGATGATGCCACTGCACTCCAACCTGAGCAACAAAGGGAGACCCTGTCTCTTAAACAAACAAAAAACAGTATAGGCAAAGTATTATAAAACCTTTTTGTTACTTTATGGTACATAGCAGTCTTTTAGCTAACCTGAATATGATCAACTCGAGAGTATTTTACTCAGCATAGTATATGACTTCCAGTAGATAACTGAAAAAAAAAAGTTCTAGGTGAAATTAATGAAAAAATGTTTTCAGTCTATTAGGTTTCTTCTATATAGGTTTCTTAGGACTTGGGGGACATCTTCTAAAATTTGGGTCAAGTTCACACTTTGCTCAATGTTTGCAGCCTCCAATACTTTGATTTTCTTTTGGCTAATTGGAGGTTCCCTTATATCGTTACCTTATAGATTTTGTTTTTAAGGAATCCAGATGCAAACTTTTAAGTTTTATCCTTTCAATGATAGAAAAGTTATTCTAGAGATTTGATAGAGCCTCAGGATGATCTAAGGGTAAAATGAGATGATCTTTGTGAAGTTTCTAGAAGGGTTCCCATGTGTAGAAGCAGTGTAGCACCTCTCCAAGAGCATGGTGAGGGAAACCATACTGCCTGGGTTTGAATCCCCACTCTACTTTTCATTGGCCCTCTGACATTGGGCAGGTATTTGACCTCAGTGCCTCAGTTTTTCCATCAGTAAATAACAATAATAATAGTACCTACCTCATAAGATTATTGTAAGAATTAAATGAGTTAAAATATGTAGAACCCTTAGAATAGGGCCTGATAGGCAGGAAGTATTAGATATTATTTTTATAGGCCCTTCTCAGTGGTGGCCAACAAAATTTAAGATGATCTCATTGTGATTAATTGAAGTACCTCTTACAGTATTCCAGACAGAAAGAAAGGCTCATTCTTTTTTTTTTTTTTTTTTTTTTTTTTAAGAAAGGCTCATTCTATGCAGCATGGGTAGATAGGCTAATCTCTGGAGATGATACTCAGTTTTAGGCTATCTTAAACTGAGTTGTAGCCAAAGAAGAGGGCCAGTACTAAGCTGGAAATTATGTTGTGAGGAATGCTTACAAGAACTGAAAATGTATTTATTACCTGGGGAAAAGATGACTTCTCCTATTTTGTTATTACAGTGGAAATGGAAAGACCTGATTTAGATGGGCAGGATAGTTCAAAAATTAAAATCTGACCTGGCACAAGTGGAAGGGTTGGTTGCTCTTTAGGTTGGCCTCTTCCCTGTAATCTCCCCTCCCCTCTCCTCTCTCCTAAGACACCTGGCTGACTGTCCTGATAGTGTGATTGTTCTGGATCATCCCACATAGTTGAGTCTGTTAGGAGAACAGGCATTTTGATTGTGAGACCCAGTGTAATTTGGACTCCTCTTGATAGTGACTTGCTTTAGAATATTAGGGATTCTTTGCAGTTGTGTAATATCATCGTGAAGAAAAAAAATAAAAAATAAAAAAAAAGAATATTAGGGATTCTTGTAATGAGATTAATACATTGAGTAAATGGGATATTCTAAATACCTTCTGCTGCTGCTTGTAAACTTCCCACAGTTTTTATGTCACTTGTAAAAAAAAACGGAAGTATCTGCAATACCTTAATTTATTCAGGGACATCCTGAAGGATTAAATGCATTTCCCATTTGCATTAGGGGTATAAAGTAAAAGAGTTAAGTTTTGTTAACTGAGGAATTTCTTATGTATTTTAGGTACTTCTGACCTAAAGACCCCTGAAGAAATTTCCTTCCTTGGAGTTTATAAATTTTGATTTAAATTTTTGTTTTTAAAAGAAAAATAGATACCCAGCTCCCTTTCTACATAGAGGCAAAAAGATGATATGGATGAACCTCTTGAGGGATATAAATTTATTTCTTTCAGCAAATTGAATTTTAAATGAGTACTTTTTTTTTTTTTTTTTTTTTTTTTGAGACAGAGTCTGGTTCTGTTGCCCGGGCTAGAGTGCTGTGGCGTCAGCCTAGCTCACAGCAACCTCATACTCCTGGGCTCAAGCAATCCTTCTGCCTCAGCCTCCCGAGTAGCCAGGCCTACAGGCATGTGCCACCATGCCCGGCTAATTTTTCTTTTTTCTATATATATTTTTAGTTGTCCAGATAATTTCTTTCTATTTTTAGTAGAGATGGGGTCTCGCTCTTGCTCAGGCTGTTCTCCAACTCCTGACCTTGAGCAATCCTCCTGCCTCAGCCTCCCAGAGTGCTAGGATTACAGGCATGAGCCACCTCACCCAGCCTAAATGATTACATTTTTATACTTGAACTCTGAGGAAGAAAAGGTGGGATAAAGCCTGTGTGTTGAACTTTGTAGGAGGTGAACACACATGCTTTCATTTTTAGCCCTTTATTTCCCTGATATTCTTGTGTGCCAGTCAGATATTTAATAGCTTAAATAGAATTTTTGGGGAAAAGATGGAGAATAAGAAATGGCAACTAAATTTTATGTGGAAAGGGATAATTGGACATGATATTTAAGACATATACTTTTGTAGTGTAAATCTTAAGATTTTTGGATAAAGTTTTCTGGCTTTCTTCTGAGACTTTGCTTATCTGATACTCCTTATTTTCTCCATAGGTGTTTATTGAATCAGGCCCCATGCTGGGGACACCAAATTACAGCAGGTTTCCTTCCCTTATAGAATGTCATTGAAATAGGTAGGATTTTTTAAAAAACCTATAGATCTTTGAAGGATCCCCCATTTCTGAGGTTCTGTCTTGAGGTACAAAAGTATTGCTTTCTTTGTTTAGAATCAAGTTTTTTTCTTCCTGGAATTCTCTCTCTCTTGAGACTGAGTCTGGCTATGCTGCCCAGACTGGAGTGCAGTGGTGTGGTCATAGCTCACTGCAGCCTGGAACTCTTGGGCTTAGGCTGTCCTCTTGTCTCAGCCTCCCAAGTAGCCAGGGCTAAAGGTGCATGTCACCATGCCAGGCTGATTTCTTTATTTTTCAAAGAGATAGGGTCTCACTATGTTGCCTAGGCTGGTCTTGAATCCTGGCCTCCCAAAATGCTGGGATTACAGGCATGAGCCACCATGCTCAGCCAGGATTCTCTTTTAAAGAACAATTTTTAAATATTTGGTGCTTTCAATGATGAAATTATCAAGAAAAATACTTATTTTCCTCAAAATATCCCATGGTCCTTAAAATGCCTGTAGGAGCATCATTCATTGCTTTTATGTTGACTGTAACTATTGGATACAAATGTCCATATTAAAAAGCTGTTAAGAAACTATTTTTTAAAATAAATTTTGTTTGATAGGAAGGAGAAAATTTGAATCTAATAGCAAACTTATTTCAGAGCAGGGGGCGACCACATGATTTCCCCTTGGACAGTCTGTCCTGGAAGTTGACCATATGCTCTCTAAACAGGTTTTCTGTGTTTTAGGGAAAGAAGCTCAGAAAGGATCCCTGCTCTTTGATGACCTCCCTCCGGCCAGCAGTACTGACTCAGGTACAGTCTTCAGGCTCTCCCAGGTGTGTGTCAACGTCTCTACTCATCCTGGGATTGTAGTTGTCTCAATCTTTTTCCCTTTCCCCCATTTTCAACACACAGATGTTTTAGGTGTTGGACTGTCTTAAGTTTTGAATCCATGGCATCAGGTAAGGCAGAAAAATCTGCTGGTCACTAGCCCTGAGAAGTACTGCGTAAAAATGTTGAGCAGTTTTCTCTGGTTCATTTGAGTATTTATTTTACTAGCTGAAATAAAATTTAACTTTTTAAGGCAGATTTTTATTTCCTTTGAAATGATAGGACTTTAAAGTAGGCTCAATATTATTCACTGCAGTATGAGTTGCCACTGGATTGACACAAGAGTTTTGAGTTTATTTCAATAACCTACATAGGTGTCCTGGTGGGATGGATTCTGAAACTTAAGCCTTATACGTTTTTTATGGGCTCACTAAGTGTTCTGCTATGTTTCAGGATCAGGGGGACCTTTGCTTTTTGATGATCTCCCACCTGCTAGCAGTGGCGATTCAGGTAAGTAGTAGGGGGAAAAAATCCAAGGTGCTGATAGAAATAGTACAGGATATTTTACTGTTATATAAAATTTACATGTTGGATGACGTTAAGTCATAATTCAGCGTAAGGTTCATTAATACTAAATAGGCACCATCAGGTAGTTGCATAAAGGTTAGATACTTCAGTACTACATCCTTTTTTGGTGATTATCTAGGTTTAACTTCTTGGGATTCAAACTGCTAAAACTGACTTTAAGAATTAAGAGTTCAGTCAGGTACAGTGACTCATGCCCGTAATCCTAGCACTTTGGGAGGCCGAGGTGGGGTTGCTTGAGGCCAGGTGTTTGAGACCAGCTTGGGCAACCTAACGAGATATTACCTCTACAGAAAATAAAAATATTAGCTGGTTGTGGTGGCATGCCTCTGTAGTCCCAGCCACTTGGGAGGCTGCGGTAGGAGGATTGCTTGGGTCCAGGAATTTGAGGTTACATTGACCTATGATGACACCACTGCACTTTAGCCTGGGCAATATAAGGAGACAGTGTATCAAAAAAGAAAAAAAAAGTTCAGAGTTATTTATTCCGAACTTGGTATTAACATTTAAAAAAAAATTTCAGAGTTTCTTTTTCTGATTTGTCTTGTGTTCCTGACATTCCCAAATATATCAATCCCATTAGCACTGGCTCTACCCACTCCTAAAAATGTTTAACCCTTTGCACTCAGATGTCGAGTGTGACTTGACATGGTTAGCAAAAATTATAGAGATTAAAATTACTCTTTGAATGTATCAATAATTTGAAATATAGGCCAGGTGTGGTGGCTCACACCTGTAATCCTAGCACTCTGGGAGGCTGAGACGGGCAGATTGCTTGAGGTCAGGAGTTCGAAACCAGCCTGAGCAATAGCGAGACCCCGTCTCTACTAAAAATAGAAAGAAATTAATTGGCCAACTAATATATATAGAAAAAATTAGCTGGGCATGGTGACACATGCCTGTAGTCCCAGCTATTCGGGAGGCTGAGGCAGGAGGATTGCTTGAGCCCAGGAGTTTGAGGTTGCTGTGAGCTAGGCTGATGCCATGGCACCCACTCTAGCCTGGGCAACAAAGTGAGACTCTGTCTTAAAAAAAAAAAAGAAAAAAAGAAATATAAAAAATTCCAAATAAATAAGTTTGTATGAAAAGAAAGTTCAGTTTTTATTCTATTGCTGCGCTTTGTAAAATCTGGGGTATTTAAAAAATTAAATCCCGAGTAGAATAAAGGAATTGAGAAAAAAGCAAGTGAGTGCAAAAGGTTAACTTTTCCTTTTGTGTCCCAATTAAGCAGAAGGGAAGAATAGAGCACATTCCTCTTGTCATAATGACAAATCTGTTATTCCATCTCACTGAGAATTTCTTATGTTGAGTTCCTCTGGCGAGGGGGTTGGGGCGGATGGTGTGGGGGCAGTGGAGATGTAGGTGGTCCTATTTCATATGCAGTTATCTTCTGGTATGAGACCTTTTGTTGTCAAATAGAAGATTTGCTGCTTTTCAAGTAGGTTTTTTTTGTATCATTAATTCATTACTATAAAATCATTGGAATCAGTCTAGAAAGTATGGATTAAATTAGTATATTTTCTATATTTTACTTTGTTATATTTCTTTTTGGAGACAGGGTCTCACTGTGTTTCCTAGGCTAGAGTGCAGTGGCATCGTCACAGCTCACAGCAACCTCAACTCTTGGGCTCAAGAGATCCTCCTGCCTCAGCCTCCCAAGTGGCTAGGACTACAGGCACACACCACCACACCCAGCTAATTTTTCTATTTTTTAATAGAGATGAGGTCTTGCTCTTGCTCTTGCTCAGGCTGGTCTTGAACTCCAGATCTCAAGTGATCTTCTGCTCGGCCTCCCAAAGTGCTAGGATCACAGGCGTGAGCCGCTGCACCTGGCCTATTTCCTATATTTTAGAAAAAATTATAATCATCTTACATGAGAATTCTTAAATTTTCATGGCTGTAGACCCATACCCAAAAGTTACGATATTCTCATAATGTAGCTTGAAACCTTCCCAGTAAAGACTGTACTCTTAACCACTTCAGTATGAGCGTCGACTATAGTTCATAGCCACAGAGGAACCCACATAGCCGAGCGTCGACTTTAGTCTATAATTTTGAATTGATTTTTCTAATTTTTCATTTATCAAAATAAAATTGTGAACATTTAAAAATAACGTAATAAAAACATATATGTAAATGTTACCTATTCTGATTTACATGACAAGTAAAGCTGCCTGTAAAGTAAAACAAGCTTTCAGTGCTTTAAAGCTTTCCTCATCACACGAGAGCAAAACAGATTCGTCGTCAATGCACAGCACAAACTATCGTGCGGACCTATGAATGCCAGCTGTGGGCAAGGTTTCGAGGCCAGTGAGCACTGTACTGAAGTGGTTAATGGTAATGAAAGTTAATCTGTGCAAACAAGGCTCTTAACAGATTTATTGAAAGAAATTAAGATTCAACATGGCTATCTCTTAGTTATCTATAGGGTAAAAACCAATAAACTAGTAACAATTTATAAGATTTCCATACCACTATTAGCAAGCTTGATTTTTTTTTTTTTTAATATATGTATATAGAATCTTGCATCCAGTATTTTAGGTTTCTTGAGAAGACAATACATTCTTCTCAGGCAGGAATCATTTACAAAAATTGACTGTACTAGGCCATTAAATAAGTCCCAATAAAGAATCTGTTTCATGTACAGATCACATTCTCTGACTACGGTATAATTTGCTTATAAGTCAATAATGAAGCTGTGAGGTTTCTGTGTTTTGGAATTTAAAAGAAATGAAGATACTTTCACATGCACATTGGGAAAACTGGAACCCAAACAGTAAGCAATAGAACATTCCTGGAGAAATTTTTGGGAGAGATTCTGTTGGAAGTATCCATGCCTTTTCTATTACTTTGCCTTATGATGTGGGGTGGCATGTGTGTATTTTGTATACTGTTGCAGAAATAGGTCCTTGTGCAAATAATTGACTCTTTCTGAGGGCAGGGACATTTTCTCTACTTCTTTTTCCTCAGTACTCAGAAATGTCTGGCAAAGAATAGGTTAAATAAATGGTTGTATACTTTTATGCCTAAATTCAGAGAACACTTAGAATCATTCATTAGGCCAGCAGCTGCCATTTATTGGACAGTTGATATAGCAGGTACTGTGACAAATGTTTTACATACTTTGCTCCCATCAATTTTTGAACCACCCTCTGTGATGACAGTATTTTCATCCCATTACAGATAAGAAACTGAGGCTGAAAGGTTAAACAACTTGCCTTAAGGGCACACCTGGTTTTTGTTTGTTTGTTTGTTTGTTTGAGACAAGAGTCTTGCTTTGTTGCCCAGGCTAGAGTGAGTGCTGTGGCATCAACCTAGCTCACAGCAACCTCAAACTCCTGGGCTCAAGCGATCCTGCCGCCTCAGCCTCCCAAGTAGCTGGGTCTACAGGCATGTGCCAGCACGCTTGGCTAATTTTTTTCTCTATATATGTTAGTTGGCCAATTAATTTCTTTCTATTTATAGTAGAGACGGGGTCTCACTCTTGCTCTGGCCGGTTTCGAACTCCTGACCTCGGGCAATCTGCCCGCCTCAGCCTCCCAGAGTGCTAGGATTACAGGCGTGAGCCACCACGCCCGGCCTAGGGCACGCCTCTTTGAACCTAGACTTTTCTCCTTCCAGACACACATACTGCAGATTCCCTTAGCTCTGGCTTTGAGTACAGATTCATCCTCTGCAAGTGGGAACAGATGCAGCAGGCCTATGGATATATTATAGTTCTTAAAGCTTGATGTTTATTATCATTTTGAGCCTTTTTGGTCACTTGTTACTTTTTTGAACCTGTCTGGGATATGCTTGTTTACAGATTTTAGAAACTTCCCTGTAAGAACCTATGAAAGTAAAACATCACGTATAGCTACAAACTAAAAATAGGTACATTTGTTTTTAACCACTGAGAAGCCCCTTTTACAAATCCCTTCAGCATCGGTCTGACTCAGGGCCTGTATCTTAACTTGTATGCTTCCACTGTGGGTATGCAGCACTGATGCCCTAACCCCTCCCCATGAAGTCACAACTGCTGGGTCTGCCTCTGTCTGCCAGTCTTTGCTTGAAATGCCATTCTGTCTCTGAGGGCTGGGATGAAGCCTAGTATGCTGGTGACTTTTTCTAACAGTCTACAGCTGTGTTTCCATCCGGTTTTTACTTTATTTTCAGGTTCTCTTGCTACATCAATATCGCAGATGGTAAAGAATGATGGGAAAGGAGCAAAGAGAAAAACCTCCGAGGAGGAGGAGAAGAATGGCAGTGAAGAGCTTGTGGAAAAGAAAGTTTGTAAAGGTTTTCAGACAGTTTGAAAACAAATGTATTAGACTCATATTTTTAAACAACCCAGAGCAAAAACAATCTCAGCTTTCTAATTATAACACTTTCTTTGTATACCTACCTGTATTTAAGAAATGAGTAGGGTTTCCTTTTTGCAAACTAATTTCCAAGTTTACCTGTGCTGGCTTTCTCCTTTACTTTTCATGTATATCTATCTCTAACCTTATCTTTGGTCAGGTAGGAAACCTACATTTGTTCTTCAAGCGTTAAATATAGGTCAAGGTTTCCTCAGCCTTCTGCAGTGAATGGTCAGTGTATTGACCACCCAGTCTCTCTCTGACTTCCAGTCTTTGTTCATAGCCTGTTGATTGCCACTTGGAATTCTATGATTTAGCTTAGTAGGCAGCTTCCCAAGAGAGACCCTAAGCCTGGAAAAAGTAGTTGAAATTTGTAGTCAGTTTTATAACTTGTCAAAGTTAGTGGGGAAGAGAATTAAAATTATCAACTAAAGAGAAATAGCTGTGGATTTGCATTTACTGCACCAGACTGCTGTGGCCTTTGGCGCAGATTACTTTAGCTAAAGCTGTAGGATGCACATAGAGGTATGTGAAAAGACCTGCTCGTAGCTCTGCTGGGAAGACAGCTCAGCTTGTCACTTCCCAGAGAACAGCTCTCTGCAAAGTGTTGTATTATTACCTGGTTCTAGGTGTCAGAAAGGGAGCTTAAACTAGCCAAGCCATTAAATGTAAATAGATCTCTGTGCCTGCACTGGACTCCTTTATCCTTTTCTTCCTCAGCTGAAGTAAAAGCAACTGATCTTACCATTTGTTCAAATTCTTCACCAGCCTTGAGCATGAAAAATACATATTTTCAGGGAGTCTGACAGGTCATTTGGGACAATTTCTATTGACTTGCTTGTCACTAAACTAAGAATCTTTCTCCTCATTAAATTATCAAAAGACAAGATTTAAAGGTGATCCTCTCCCTGATTTGAATCCCACTTCTATGGGATGGCAGCCCTTCCCTTGGGCTGGTGCCCTTACGCCCCACGCGGAGTTGTTCTGTGCTCACTGGCTATTCACTCACGTCGGTGCCCCACTGTCCAGCCTCTTGGGACCCATCCTGTCCGTCAGTGCTCTGATTTTAGTTACAGACTTGCAATTGGGGGGGGGGTGCGTTGAGGGGCATTTCTTATTTGTTTGCACAAATAGGACATTGCTGAGTAAAACAGCCATAGTTTCTTCTCATTTGCTCTGGGACTAGGGCTTCCAGAGGGTCGAGCACGGTTTTGTATTGTCTTTTTTTGTTCTTTTTTCCTTAGCTTCTTCGGTGATCTTTGGTCTGAAAGGCTATGTGGCTGAGCGGAAGGGTGAGAGGGAGGAGATGCAAGACGCCCATGTCATCTTAAACGACATTACCGAGGAGTGCCGGCCCCCATCTTCCCTCATGTGAGTGTCTGTGCTCCAGGAAGCCTAGTCGGCATCCAACTCTCCTCTGTTTTGACTGTAGTATTGGACTGTGTCCAGTTAGTGCTTACTAGAAAGACTGACATATCACTTGAGTTGCTTGGTTCTACATGAGTGGTTCTTAGCCGGGGTTGATTTTGCCTTCCGGGGGACATTTGTCAATTGTCTGGGAACATTTTTGTTGTTGCAATTGGGGGAGGAGATTGTTACTGGCATCTGGTGGGCAGAGGCCAGGGATGCTGCTAAACATCTTAAGAGCACAGTGTAGCTCCACAACAAAGAACCATCCAGCCCAAAATGCCAGTAGTGATATAGTTGAGAAACCTGCTGAATGGGAAAGGATGCTCCATGTTGTGGATCTTCAGGGCGTGTTATTCCTCACCAGTAACTAAGCTGCTTTTGGCAGAGAGTGTTCTTATTCTGGGACCTAGAAGGTTAAGTTGGAAGCTGCTAAGTATGCATGTTGATCAAGGAGAGCTAATTCCGATAATCAGGGCCCAGAAAGACAACAGAAAAGCTGAAATGGCACCAAGGACAAGAAAGATAATGAAAAATATCCTTAAGCTGTACAAACTACAATGTGGCCCTCTGGATGAGCTCTTAGGCATGGATGAAAAATGGCCAGAAGGTAGAACATTAAGTTGACCATTAGCATACATTATGTTACATATCTAATAATATGTATTACATAGTTTCTGTAATCCAGAATTACATACAATACATTATATACACTAATTGACACCAGTTGGTCATTAACACAGTGTGTTGGAGCCAGTTGTGCCAGTGGCTTTTGTCCAGTAGGTGAGGCCTAATTACGAAGATGAGGAGGTGATGGCTGCTGCGGAGCAGTGGGTCACGTGCAGAGCTGATGCCACATACTCTCACTGCTGTAAGGCTGTGTGGTTCAACGCTGCGGGGGGCAGGGGAGGGGGGCACCTGGGAATTGCTTTAAAGCCAGGAAAGGGACTTTTGGAGAGCCCAGGAGGGCAGATCCTTTGGGGGTAGATTTAATTGGGAACACTAAATCATGCCTAACCAACACTAAATTATATCTAGCAAGTACTGGGCTGAAGATAACGGTTCTGAGTTATGAACCAGATGAAGTTTATTTTCTCATTGTCCATAGTGTCTTAAATTGAAAAGGAATTCCAAAAAGTTTGAAAGAAGAGCAGCTCTGTAGAGTAAATGTCATTTTTCATAGGCATATTTGTTCTGTTCTTCTTGAAATGTTGTCTTTGATGTCTTTTATTCCATATATATGCGTTTTCTGGCTAAACTTAGGAATAGGAATAAGAGTGATAAGATAGGTTTTAAAAATTAGATATTATTCAAAATTTATTTCAGTGACAATTCTGGAACTCCGTCCCCCTTTTGTAGATATAGTCATGTGCCACATAATGACATTTCAGTCAACAGCAAAGGCATAGACAAGGGTGGTCCCATTAGATTCTGATACAGTGCTTTTGCTGTATCTTTTCTATGTTGAGATATGTTTAGATACACAAATACTTAGCGTTTTGTTATAGTTGCCTACAGTATTCAGTACACTAACATGTTGTATAGTTTGCAGCCTAGGAGCAATAGGTTCTGTCATATAGCCTAGGTGTGTAGTAGGCTATACTGTCTAGGTTTGTGTAAGTATGTTACACATACTCTGATGTTAACACAACAAAATCGACTAATGTGTTTCTCAGAGTGTATGTCCCTCATTAAGGGATGTGTGGCTGTGTTTTTGACTATCTTGGATCATAACCTTTGGCTGTTTGTTAATGTATAAATCTGATTTAAATAGGACGAAAGTTCTGAATTTTAGTTTCGTCATCACTGAAAAATCAGAGTCAACAGATCTTGATTTTTAAAACAAGTGTGGATTTTTAACATTTAATTTACAAAGCTGTGATTATTGCTTAAATGTTTATCTCAGTTAATATTACAGCCTTTTTTTCCATTTACAAGAGTGGACTGGACAGTGTGACTTCTTCTGTCTTATTTTTTCTTCCCTAGAGACAAGGTCTTGTTCTGTCTCCCAGGCTAGAGTAGAGTGGCGAGATTATAGTTCATGGTAACCTTGAACTCCTGAGCTTAAGTGATCCTCCCACCTTAGCCTCCAAAAGTGCTGGGATCACAGGCGTGAACCACTGTCCCCAGCCCCTCTGTCTTACTATGTTCACTCTTTGAGATGAGATTTAAAAGCTTTAATAGAGAAGTGTGATCTTTGCTGTGAGAATTTCATTGGCGCTCAATTCATTCTTCCAGTACTCGGGTTTCATATTTTGCTGTTTTTGATGGACATGGAGGAATTCGAGCCTCAAAATTTGCTGCACAGAATTTGCATCAGAACTTAATCAGGAAATTTCCCAAAGGTGAGCGTGAGAACTAATATTCATTTTGGTTTTTGCTGTCTGCATGGCTGTGTAAATCAGTCAGATATGTCATTTTGGCTTTAGAAAAGAATCATTGGTGACTCTTAAAAGAATGGGACTAAGAGGAGTGGACTCTGAGGCTTCTAGGTATAGCAGCCATGCAGGCATGGCTTGGTATCCTACTTCTCATGTCTCTAAGTGATGGGGACCTTGGTGATTTATCTTTGGGTACAGTGAGTGTCTTGCCTTTACACTTGAGAAACTAGTAAAACCAAATTCAAATGACGCTTTTACAGGTGAGAATGTAGAGATTGTTCTTAGTCATGCTTCAGAATCAATTGATATGCAAAATAGAAAAACAAAAATGACAGTGGGAGGAGGATACTCTTCCCTCATTGAGAGATTGCTTTCTTTTGGCCCTTTTGTAATAGGTGATGTAATCAGTGTAGAGAAAACCGTGAAGAGATGCCTTTTGGACACTTTTAAGCATACTGATGAAGAGTTCCTTAAACAAGCTTCAAGCCAGTAAGTATAACTCTTTGAAGAAGTTCAAGTGGAATGTGTGTGGTGTTTTTCCTAACACATTTCAGGTCTTCTGATATGGTTTGACACTAATGCTTAACTGTCTGAAAAGTGCCAAGCACTGAGTAAACTTTTAACCATTAGCAAAACCTAAAAGAGAAAAAAAGCAAGTATCAAGGAAGTGGTCATTTTAAAATATAAGATACTCCCATTTAGCTAGCTCTGGAAATTAGTCTCAAAGTGCTAGGCTGTTGGTGACTGTATTTCTGATGTGTTTCCCCCCAGGAAGCCTGCCTGGAAAGATGGGTCCACTGCCACGTGTGTTCTGGCTGTAGACAACATTCTTTATATTGCCAACCTCGGAGATAGTCGGGTATGTGGCTCTGGAGCCACCCACTTAGATGACGATATGTTTCATGGGGGAAAAACCTGAGCCAAGTTTTTGTTGAATAAGATTAAAATGATAAAGGCTGGGTTGAAATCTTTCTTCTTGTGGGGTTGTTCTGGGGTGTTCTGCTTCAGAGGATGCATAGGGGAACAGCAGCTATTGAGACAGTTTGTTCTCTGGGAAGACTTATGCCCTATAACAGCCTTCTTTAAAACCCAGATCCTTTCTTTTTGTTTCTGTTTTCCTCTCGTTTCTTTTTTATGTATGTGATGCTATGGGTCAGAATTTAATCAGTATGCAAGTAACTTAAATACCTCTTCATTACTCTGACCTCAGACAGTAATGAATGAAAAATATTAACACTACCTCTCAAAATCATTATAATTTCAGAATAACTCAGAAGCTGTAACTAGATAAGTACTAGGTGAAGTGCCATTCTTCCCCTGAGAAAGCTCAGAGTGTTGTTTTCGCCCATGACAGTCGTGGGGAATGATGGGAAGCCTAGTGGGGTAGTGCTCTGGAAGGCGGGCTTCAGTCCCTCCCTCTGCATCAGGACCACATGTTCAAGTCCATTGCCACTTTTTTCAGCCAGCCTCCGTG